CGCACGCCCCAGCCCGCTCGTTAGCGCTGGAGGAGCCCGCGGAGGCAGGAGCGCGGCGGCACGCTGCTCGTGAGCCGGGATTGCCCCGACCGAGAAGGCGGGCAGGACGCGGCTCGGTAAGGTGGGCCCACACCGCTCCAGCCGGCTCGCTTTCCTGAGAGAAATTCTGGTAAGGATACGCGTTCCTTGTAACCACCATCCGCACCCGATCACCCCATCTGATAAAGCCATCATTTAAATGGACGCTTCCACACAAAAGTTAAATTGAAAGTTTATCTGAGTATTATTTTTAAAATCCCCCAAACTCGTCTTTAGTGATTAGGTCTTGGAAGAGTTACATATGCCTTCATTTGAAATGCGGAGAGACACCTTCAGTCTAGTTTTGATTCTCTTCAGTCTCGGTTCCTGGCTCTGAGGCAACAGCTTAGGGTGGCGGCGTCTGACAGGACAACCACCGTCCGAGGAACGTGGCAGAGCTAAGCCACCCCGCTCCCACCAAAAGAAACATTAAAATGTTGGACAGAAGTATCTATATTTGGAAAACTTTTTTTTTTACGGGACTTACAGCGGCACAAAAGCAGCCTAACAGGACACAGATTCAGGTTTTGGACGTTCACATCTTTTAAATACTGTTCAACACTTTGCACCTGCACTTCTAGTTCATAATCATGTAGGCGAAGGGTTGGGAGACTCACAGGTAATTCGCCAACAGTACAGGAGAAGCTGTCATGACCAAGCTGCTCTGCACCAGTAGAAACCATACCCCTAACGACTAGAGACCTGCGCTGCTTGTGTGACAGCAGCCATCAGCTATAGTGACAATTCAGACCTCAGTTTAAGGACAGCGTATGGCACTTAGTGCTAAAACTTAACATAGGGCATTAACTACAATCAGCTGGAGCTTTCCAAGTTAAGCAGCGAGCAGGATACACTGTATGCAAGAAATACAAACACACCACACTTCTTGTTTATTGATTTACTTGATATACAGTGGGCTACATATCAGAATACTAGTCATGTGAGACAAACTCTCTCTTCCTCCTCTCCGGTGAGCAGTCATAACATAGTAAAATTATGCCAAACAGATACATTATCTGCCATCAAAGTGAAAATCAGAGGACAGACACCCTCTACACAACTAACATAAGCCAATTAAAATCTTAGTTCAAGCTCATTGGCAGGAATACTCAGGCTAGCTAAAAATTCCCATAAAGTCCAATTAGAAGGCAACCTCTAACGACTACATCTACTTTTGTTCCAAAAATAAAAGCAAAAATCAAATGAACCGTATACTGATGAAAGCTGTAACAGTGCCATGTCGGTTTTACTAAGAAGAATGCCTTTTAATGGCAGTACAAGGAATTGTGCAAAGGTTTCAAGAAGTAAAATAATTCAACTTCTGGGTTTTTTCTTTCTCTATTTCAGAGAGAAACTAGCTGCAAATAATGCTCCTACCACAAACATCCTAGCACTGTGTGGCTACCCAAACCCAGGACGTTTGGTTCAGCCCATTTGCACAATTCTTTTGTGTTTTGCTTTGAAGAAAGGTGGCAGACTTGGTGTACCTCAACAGACCTAATTTACTGCAATTGCCTTTTAGTACCAATCTGTGCATTGTGTGCAGACTTTGGGGAAAAAATGTCTAACAAAGCTGAGTTAATCAGTAATTAATTTTGTGTGTTTTATATTAATTGAGACAAATTTTTCATCTTGTACTCTTCCTGGAGTACTTTGTGAAGTAAGAGTCATGGTTCTACTTTCAAATGAACTCCACTGGAGATTTTCATTTACAGAAAGCAAATTTTATATCTGCATTGTAGATACAGTTTAACACTGTCAATAAGTACTTTCAATTTAACACTCTATACTGACTGGAATAAGTAGATTACAAAGAAGGAATATAAATAAAACAAGTATGTGTATATATGTATTTTTATAGATATAAAAAAAATGTAACTCAAAGCCTGTTTATTTTTTAAAAATAACTATGCATTTTAGTGTCATGCCAAGAAGATGCAAAAAGCTCTTAACTCTTTGTACATAAAAATTGGTCAAACCACAAAAACCACCTCTGGCCCATTACATGAGATCCTTCCCTGAAGAGAGTGAAGATTTAATGTGAATAAATCTACCTACTAAAGAACAACTCTTTTGCTTTACTCTTGAGGAATAGAAGTTGGTCGTACTTGACCACAGAAGCTAAAGACATAAGAAGTTAGGCTGTGGTTTTGTGGCCACAGCCACACTTTCAGCTTGTGTGTGTTTGCGTATGTGCACAAACATGTGAGCAAATACATCACGAGTGGAGGAGGATTTGCGGGAGCCAGTCTCCCTACACTTTGCTGCCTCAGGTAAAACTGCTGTCTGGAAGGATAAAGAGTATGAAGAGGTACATTACCTCCTGTAATTTTGCTGTGCCCCAGTAGCACTCACACAGAGTATTAGGAGTATTAGTTGATCCTGATTCTCCTCCTATCGAGATCCCTTTGCTACCTACCACCCTCACCCACTTAAAAGTTCCCATTCTGGTCTTCCTATTTCCTTTCTTCAAAGGCTCCCCACTGGGCTTCTTTATTCCTGCATTTGCTCTTCACTTATTTAAATAACCCCTTCACCTTTTCATCGTTTTTCACCTCCTGTTTAATGGCATTGTGTTTTCACTCATAAGCAAAAGCATGGCCTAAAAATAGTTCCTTGGAGCAAAACACATTTCTAAGCTTATAAATATCTAATATAAATACAATCCTGGAGTAGACTTCTGGATATAAACATGCTGCTATCGCTGTTCTCCTTTACGCCTCTCCAGGTTTTTGGTCTTTTTACCATACAAGCTCTTTGGTTGCAGGGACGCTATCTCCCCACAGGTCTGCACAGACCAGAGAAGGCTCTCATTCCTGAATTGTACAATTGCTGTGTCTTGTCCAATGCCCTGACAAAGTACAACACTGAGACGATGCACAGGGAACTGGATTCTTCTATTGTCTGCTCATCAGGCTGCTTCCCCCTAAAAGCATTGCTCTTTATAGCCAAAAAAGATAGATAGATAGGTAGATAGATAGATAGAAACAATGACCCAAAGCTGCATCTAATATTTGAAAACACAAGAAATGTGGTAAAATCAGAGATCCCAAACTGGCTACAACTGAAGTCCTGTACAGTCAGTGTAAGCAAGAGCAATCACAGCAGGAGGTTTTGCTATTTTCTGATATCCAAAGCATTTTACTAATTATATACAAAGAAAAGACATTTGTTTCTCTTTTAAATTGAGATAGACTTGTTAGGACAGACTGACATACAATTTTAATCCTCCCAATCTAATGGAATCTCCTTATAATGTAACTATTTGTTCAAGATTTTTGCCTGTATTTATGCATTCTGAAAGATCATCAAAACTCACAGTAACTTGCATCCGAAATGCCCAGATTAAAGTTTTCAGTTTTAGTTTTCCTTTCTAATACGGTTTAGCTTAAACAGGCAAAATGCACCCTCTGTTGGGCAAAGCATGTAATGACTTTTTCCCAAGGTCATCTTTTTAACAGCATGGTTTATTAAACCCTGTTATGAAGGTTTATTTTTATGATTAACTGTGAACTAATGCACAAGTCATACAAACATTTGAATCAATATTAGACTGAAATGAAACCAAAGCAGCACAGAATATTCAGTGCTACTATATAGCCATTGGGAGATTTATGATCTTTTTCAAACACTGCTTACGTCTATTAAGATTTGTAAATCCTTCCAGCGAGCACTGGAAATTCATTTATTGTCACCTAAAACAAGCAAATATCTGTACTTCACTTCAGCACCAAAGCACAATTTACACCCACTATCACTGCAATGCATTTTTTTGAGCTGGACAAGGATTGCTAACTGGCATATGAAAAAAGCTACACACAGAAGCTCCAAAGTGCATTTTGGATAAGGATGCTACAGTAAACTCCCAATATAAAAGGGGGCTTATTTTTACCTGATTTTTTTCTTACTAGGATATTTCTAGGTAAAGGCGGGATTCAGTGAGGTAAAATTGGCCAGTGTAGCAGAACAGAAAACGGCAAAAGGTAAGGTCTTAAACCTACATATGCCGATGCCTATACCCATGTGAAAAAAACCAAACTACTCAGATGAGTAAAGTGAATATGGGCTGGTATGTGAACTCTGGAGTCTAAAACTCATACCACAGCGAAGAAGAAAGTTTGTGTAATACATGGAAACCAGAAGAGAGACAATATGCAGTTCTCAAAAACAGAAAAGGTAGACAGATTGCATAAGGAAACAAGACAGTGAAGAGAGGTGAAGAGGGAACTGGGGTGCAGGCGCTATGAGCTGCGATGCAAAGTTATCGACGTCTGCCAAGCCATAGCAAAGGAAAGCTGCTCTGGAGCACAAGAAGATATCCCATTTAAAACAGATAAAAAGCATACAGGTAGAACCGACTGCTGTGAAACAAGACTCCTCCAAGGTCTGCACTTAACCAATCCCTTTCACAATGATATTTAATAAAATTGTATTGTGGTAAAATACTTTATAGTAGTAAGAAAGAAATCTTCCTACCTTGAATGTATTCAGCTGCTGATTAATAGTCTCTGTTTCCATTCCAACAGGACCTTGTGACTCTTCATGTTCTTCAGCTCTCCCAAGCAGACAGGAAAATTCTTCTAGCTTACTGTAAAACTCCTCAACACGGCTAATAGTACCCTCCACTTGATCTTCCCTGGCTTTTGCTCTGTCTAGTAGCTTGTTGCACTGTTTATTTAAAGCTTCCAAGTCTCTTTTTATACCAACAAGATCAGGAGAAGCTTCAGCTTCTGTGGCTAGCATCATTTTACAGTTTTTATTAGCATTTTCATTATTAATTATAAGATCCTCCAGCTTTTTCAGGAAACGTTTTATGTCCCCTCTCTGTGATTGCAGCACCTCGAGATCTCTCCCCACTGGAGCCATACTATCAAGTTCATCATCAAACTCTGCAAACTGAGAGAACATTTCTCGGATGCTGTTTTGGAAATGGCCAATTCCCTGAAGTTTTGTCTCTAAGAACGAGCACCTATCTTCAACCTGCTGGTTCACTGCAGTGTATTCTCGCTCCAGAGATTCAGCTTGGAGCAAAAGGTCAGAAACACCTGCTGGATCAGAAGCTTCTACCACCAGGTCTTGGGCAAGCTTTTTTGCTAAATCAACATGAGGCTTTAAAGCCTGCAAGGCTTTCTGCTGGGCCTGCATCATCGTCAGGTGTTTGTTACTGAATGACTGAGGTCCAAGCGAGTCATGAGCTTCCAGATGCTCTTTCGCACTTTTAAGTTGTTTTTCAGTTTCCCTGGATGATTCCTGAAACTCCTTCAGCCTTTGTGCCATATTTTCCAAGCACTCTCTCTTCTTATGTAATTGTTCTGTGACCACATTCACTTTCTGATTCAGCACCTTAGTTTCTTCTTGAATAATTTCTTTATCTGTTTGACTTGCACTGAGCAAACTTTCAGCACTATTATTTAATAGCTCCACCATCCCATGGTGTTTATCCAGGTCCTTCTGCCAGGCCTTCACCTGAACAATAGAATTCTCTATTTCAACAGGGTTTATGCCAACTTTTAATTCACACAGGTTGCTTTGGCATTTCTCTATCCACGGCTGCAGATTTTCTACATGCTGCTTGTATTTGAGGGCTTTCTCCAGACAATCTGTTAATTTATCTTGCCTTTCTTTTACCTGCTTATTCATTTCATCCCAGTTACTTCTGAGTGTAGCAATTTGGGATTGTAATGCTGCTTTGTCAGCTCCTTGAGTCTTCTGTAAGATACTTTCTCCTTCTGCAACAATTCTTTCATATGAACTAATCTGATCGGTCATGGTCTTCTTAAAATCTTTCTGTTCTTCAATTAGTGATTGCAAGGCATCGAGTTTGGCTGATACAGGATAAGCCTGGTTCAGCTCTTCTTTCTTTTTCCCTAGCCAGGCCTGAAAGTCCTTAGACATTTGCTGGAACTGATGAGAAGCAGCATATGCCGACTGAAGCTGCTGAACATGGTTATCTACAAAAGAGAAGACAGCACAGAGGTTCATTATCAGAACCTGCAAGTATTCAGTGAAGAAATAATAATTAATATTGGTGCTATTATGAATGATCATTAATGTAAGGAAAGCTGGTCCTTAGTATGTGGTGTTCAACTGGAAGACAACCAAGTCAACCAAGTTTCTTGCAAGGGACAGGCTTGTGCCTGTACTACAGCAGAGCAGTGAAGGCATTTGGACATGAATCAAATGAGGTGAGCTTAGCCAATCAGTGTCTACATGAATCCCATTCAGGCAGATTTCGGGGGTAAAAACCACACAGTCGTGTTTCATGGTATTATGAAGTGTAAGCACAGGGAATATATTAAGTAATCTAGCCTAGCAGTGTCTAACTCATGGCCTGCAGGCAATATGTGTTCTTAGGGAGATCATTTGAAGTTCCTCATGACCAGAGGAAATGAAAAAGCTAAAACTGAGGCTGTAAGGGAGAACAAAGTATGATATTGCTTGCAGTGTATTACTTGCTCAGTTCTCTTGTTCACAGGGTAAGGGAAGACTGCAGACTACTGGCCCTCTTCTGCCACAAGCAGTATTATACAATTACCACGGCGTTTCATTAACTGGTGCTTGCCTAAAAATTACAGTTTTGGCTTACACTCTGCACCTATGCAGTTAGGTAGCTCAATGAACAGCATCCTCTTTTGGTATTCTAATTCAGTGAAGATGCACCTGAGGAAGAGATGAGAAAAGCAGCCCTGCTATTGTGCTTCAAATTCTCTCCCAAACTGTTCACTGGAGATCCCAAGTATTGTTTTTACCTTTTCAAGGTATGAGGACTCTCCTAAATTCTAATGTACAAATGCTTGGGGGTTGGACTGGATAGAGAGCTGGCATTAGGCTCGGCTCACTCAACATATCTAGAAAGACAAATGAGACTATATGCTTTGCTTTATGCCTTAGTTACTATTTTTCTTTAAATAAGTACTAACCTGACTTTTGCTCGATATCCTTAAACGATTTTAAGATGCCATCTAACTGTCTCATAAGTTCTGCTTTCAAATACTCTTCTCCAACCAGTGTTGACAGCTCTTCACAAAGAGCTTGAGCTGCATTGATATTCTTCATTTCCTGTTCTATTTCCTCCTTCATTTCTCTAGCGATTTCCAGTTGTTGTTTCACAGCATCAGGTTGTGTACTCACAGCCAGGCTGCTGCTTAGTTTGCTATCCAAGGCACTTAGCTTATCAGACAGACTTCTGAGTAGACTTTGATACTCTGTGCTTTTCACAATGGCTTGGTCAATTCGGTCACATCTGTTCCTCAGCTGGCCGGTTAGACTGTCCCATTTTTGTGCCACAGCTGCCAGTTGCTCTTTTACAATTTCATGGGAGGGTGAACGTTCACCAGGTCTCTTCAGAATCCCTTCACCAGCCATAGTTAACTGCTCGTATTGTGGCTTTCTGGTGTCAAACTCTTTGAGCAGAATCTGGGAAGAAAGAAAATTTTAAAAAGCATTTACCTCATGAAAAAAGCAGCAAAGTGCTTCTGACAAAACTCATGTAGAATTTGTTGTAGCTAAGCTCTCTTAGAAGAAAAGAATGCTCTTTTACAATTTCATGGGAGGGTGAACGTTCACCAGGTCTCTTCAGAATCCCTTCACCAGCCATAGTTAACTGCTCGTATTGTGGCTTTCTGGTGTCAAACTCTTTGAGCAGAATCTGGGAAGAAAGAAAATTTTAAAAAGCATTTACCTCATGAAAAAAGCAGCAAAGTGCTTCTGACAAAACTCATGTAGAATTTGTTGTAGCTAAGCTCTCTTAGAATAGAATAGAATCACTGAGGTTGGAAAAGACCTCTAAGATCATCAAGTCCAACCGTCGACCCAACACCACCACCCACTAAACCATGTCCCTAAGTGCCTCATCTACTCGTCTTTTAAATACCTCCAGGGATGGGGACTCAACCACTTCCCTGGGCAGCCTCTTCCAATGTTTAATGAATCTCCAAGTTTAAAAGCCAGTGAAATAACTGCGTCTTCTACACATAAACTGTATTGTTTCCAAGGATTTACATCAAAGAACCAGAAAAAACGAGGTTAATTTACAGATCATCTAACAGAAATTCAATCAGCAGATAGAAGTAAACAATGAATTCTGTTAATACTACAGTAACTGAGTAACCATACCAAGTAAAATAATCACTGTTTAGTTTCAAGCAGTCTCTTCTTTCCTAGACAGTGTCGATATTTGTCTTAAGATAGAACTTCAAAGAAGGTGTATCCTGACATAATATTGCAATGTATTATTATAGTAGATAGAATATTTGGATAATTTACAAAATGACTGAATGAGTACTGTAAGATCTTTAAAGTTTACATCACTGGTTCCCAGTATTATTTTTTGTTTTTTTGACAGTAAGTCATAGTGCTTGCAGAAGGGACAAATACCATGGGTTTACTTTACAGAACAATCCAAACCCTTTCTTTTTAAGTCAATTAGGTTTAACTTTTAAGGACTGTTAAGTGATACATGATAGTCTTATGCCAGCTGTCTAGATTTCTGAAGCACTTACAAACCAATATTAAGTCATTTTCACATAGTATTAGAACATAGTTCATGTTTGAAACACTTCATTTTAATCAATATTGATATGCCAGATTTAATAATATTTTTGCAAAATAAAAATGTTATTTCTCATCACAGTTTAAAATAACTGGCAGCAACAGAAATGTTTGAAATAAAAATTTCTAGTTTCTGCAACTTTGTCCGATTTAACTTTTGTTTCTTTTGTCTGCAGTTTGCTGTATTTCTGTAAGTAAACTACTCCACTTTGTCATTATACTTTTTCTTCTGTCTTTCACATTCTTGGCCCCATATCTATTCACAGTACTGCATTTCACTTGCCTTCATATTTTTATTAGCTACCGGCACAGTCAAGTGAACAAAATCTCAAAAAGCTAGTTCTACAGCACAGACTATATATGAGGACTGACCATAAAATGTTACATACGCACTCAAATTAATAAAACTTCAAAGGAACATTTTCATTCAACTCCAGAGAAACCACAGTATGGTCAAAACACAAACATGTATCATAGGATCAGTATCCCCCTCAACTTTTTTTTTCCTTTAGCTGTTCTGATCTCTCTTTGCTCTTATGATAATTTTTTTCTTGTCATTACTGTAGTCAACTATAACTTAAGATGATATTTGCTGATAAACAAATGGTAGTAGCTCATACTAACTGTGCTGTACTCTATCTAAATGCAAAATTGTACTTTGCTAATAGCAAAAAAGCAGAAGAAACTTAAATCAATAATGCCTGCTGGCATGACTCACCTGAACCTGTTGCTTTTGTGTATTCAGCATATTAGGATCGATTGATAGTGGTCCCAGCACGCTGACCATTAGCTCCTTTTCTACAAGCCAGTGCTTTAACTGAGCTTCTGCTGTCTGGAACTGGGTCAGGTAATTTGAAGACTCCTCCAGTTTTTGTTGTCTCTCAGATGTAACTTGATTGAGTTCTTTCCATTTGGAATCTAACAATGATAATGTTAACATATTGCATGCATGTTCTAGCAGATGGGTTGTCAGACAGCAGACTATGTATGAAACATAAACAGAGCTCTCTAATAAGGCTTCTTGCTGATTAACTCCAGATGCCTTATTGCAGTGACTCGGCAAATACATCTTTTAACAGTCAGATGCATATACACTTGGATGAAGGTCTGCAGTTTAGCACAGCCACGTGCGGAATTTTTAGAGCAATGAATATACAACTGTAATAAAATTGGATTAGAGTATTACTAAGTGAAATACCAGCAAATTTAGGCTTCGGTATCAAATGACATAAAAGCCAAAGGGCTGTACTCAGTTATAACTTAGGTGCCTGATTTAGATAGACAAATCTTCCTGCTTATTCAGTAAGAAGAAACAGATACCCTTCCAGGGGTGAGCAGAAGCCCTAATTTAGGCTTCTACTCTGAACAGCCCTCTCTCTGAAGGAGCACACCTCTTTCAAAGGCCTGTATTAGGAGCCTGTGAAGATGAATGGCCTCATTTAGACATCTAAACCAGGTACCTAATGATAGGCAATGAGAATACTTCTGTACGCAGGTATTTCAAAAGTGCTGTGTGAGCTTAGGTTCACACCTAGGCCAATCTGTGGTCTCTTCCACTTGTAGCAAGTGGCTTCCAGAGCAGCCATTGAGTCTTACAGTCTTGTAACTTCCCCCTTCCCTCTGTGATACTGTCAGCACCTGTTCAGTCAGCTCTGGTATTTTGCTAACTCTTCTTGACCCTGAATTTCATCCGTGTTTTTTCAGTTTCTTTTGCCACTTCACTGTCTTTGACCTCTGCTCAGTCTGTATTAATCCCCTTTTAACACTACTCAAGTTCTCTTGGAGACCCTACCTGCTACTTAAACTTTTCAGAGTTTCACTTACAAACAGGACAGATCGGTAAAGTTCTCAGCTTTAAAATTACTATTGGTGTAGCTACAGAAATGCCTATCAGCATGAAACAAGATTAACCTATGATTTATTTAAAATATGACAAACCTAAGAAGAATTTTTAAAAGCTCATGACAATTATGCACTGCAGTATCTCAAAGTCTATTGTCCAAACATGGTAATTTCCAATTTTTTTGGCAAAATTTATGGAATCAGTTTTAGAAAATGGCAAAAAGTCATCAAAACCACAAAATGACAAAAGCCACTAGTACATGGGAAAAAAGCATGCAGAAAAGCATTACCTGTTTCTTTACAAACTGTTCTTTACATGAAATTAACTAACTTTGTTATATTTTGTAAGAACAACGACATATGTATCTGGAGCAATAACTGACCAGTCAAGTTTTAGCCACACACAGTTTGAAAAAGATAAAGCCCTCTCAAAGAGGGAGTCGAGCTATAGCCTCTCTCAATTGCACTGATATAAATTCAAAGCCCACGGATATCAGCGGAATTACTCCAGATCTACAGTCTTGTAAAGGGAGTTATTCCCACAGAATTTAAGGGGTAGGAGGGAGCAAGATATTAAAAATACTAGTGATTGCTAATACATTAAAAAACCCTCATAATAAAACAACTTCCAAATCAGTCTGAGCTATAATACAGCTTTACTGAAGTACCTATTTTATCCAACATTTGTCTCCATTTGGGCGCCTCAGGAGAGTCAGGGTTCTTCTCCAACAGCTCTGTCACTTTGTCCTTTAGTTCCTGCACTTTATTCGCACTTTGCTTTAATTCCGTTTCAAAAAGCTGCAAATTCAAGTTATAAAATAAATAAATAAGAGACTAAAGAAGAACGGTAAGGTGTCAAGTTTGAAGTCCATAATACTGAGATGCCAAGCATGAAGATAAACAATAAATATCTAGCACTTATATACTACTTTTCTGCTATGAATCTCAAAACACTTTATAATGGCGTATGTTGCTGGTCAATTTTTTTGGAAGAGAGAACCTGACCAATTTAAATTCTATTAATAATAACAATTTTTGTTTAATGTGAACAAGTGACAGAACTAGAAGAATTCAGATAAATAAGATCTGCTAGGTCCCATCATATTCACATATACTTAGAATCTGTTCTTGTACAGAAGGCAAACTAACGCACAGTACAGTTCACAGCAGAAATAACCCAGCTAGCACCGACAGAGAGGGGGCCTCGTTTCTCTCAGTGGCAGTCCTGCTATCACAGATAGACTGCTTCTTGTAGATCATCTAGAACTATAGTTTAAAGAGCACCATAGCTTAAAGTGTAGACCTAGCAGGAGACTGAGATGCCCCAGCAATTCCTAATTCATGCTGTTCTTACAGACAGAAGTGAACAGTCCTTATGCCTGGCAAAGGGCTCTTACATGAATATTCTTAAGTAACAAAGCTTGCCCCGTGGAGCTGCATTTTAGTTACCCAAAACCCACTAAAATAAACACTGAACAAACCTGTGCTTGATGTAGAACTTTTACTAAAAGGTCCAACTGAATCAGAAGCGTGACTCTTGCCTGAGCACTCGCTCAGTTTTCCAACTATCTGTGAATACTCTTCTATTACTACACTGGGGGTAAGATGGTCATGTTAGCTTTGCACATTCTCTGTTAAAAAATAAGGAGCTAGTTTTCTTCCACATTTAGTCTGAGTTTTAGGACTGAATGTTATCCAAGTCTGAGGAAAGCCAGTAGCTGTTCAGGTTAATTTTTAAGGGTGACCCGCCAAATATAAAAGAATTCTCTCAGTTGAATCAAATTCTGCCCTTGTTTACCCACAATCACAGGCAAGGAAAGAATTTTCCCTATCCATTACATTTCCCTTTATAGATGAACCTTTACATGTGTAAATATTGTCCTTCATTGCTAGGGAAGCATATGCCTCCAATGCTGAACCAGGACAGAAGCTTACTGCTGATTCAGTGGTTTTCTCTCATCAGTTTAAAAGGGGGGAGGAGACTGTTGTGCAGCTATATAACTTAACAAGCATGACACGGTTGCTGAAGAGAAACGCTGCCTTGGAATAGACATAAGCCGCTGCAGCTGCAGAGACCGGGAGGTCTGGGGAGTGTGAGTGAACCAGCAGCTGCAGAAACAGCTTTTGGATAGATATAGCCCTTCAGGTCTTACAAGCAATCCAGTATACACCTCTAAACCACTAAGGAGATGAAAAAAGTTTATTGCATAATCAATATAGCCTCACCTATTTAAACTGGCCACCAAAATTATTATTTTCTGACCTGCACAACTCCTTCTCTCTGACACAGTGCTCCTTTTACTCCATTGACAGTTTGCCAGATTTGCTCTAAGCCTGACTGGCACGCTTTACTAGGATCATTTAAATCTCTCTGCAACATTAAGCTAGCCTGAGGTATCGGTTGTTCAACTAGAATTTCCCCAGTAACTGCAAAAAAGAGTATTTTTTTGAAGGCACAAAGTACCTTATGTTGCTCAACTTGGGCTTTAACTGCTTCACTATCAGTTGGAGCAGCTTCCCAATCTGATGCAGTTTTGTCCATTTTTTGCAACCACTGCATCATTGAGGTCGATTCTTCCTGAATATTCTGCATTTTTGAAAGCATACTTTCTAGTTCTGAAATCTTTTCCTTCAATAAAACTCCCAAATCTTCGTAACTGTGATTTACATCAGACATGGCTTGTTGAACAGTTGTCAGTTCTGTAACAGGAGAGATGCATAAAGACTACGTTAGAGGTTACAAGCCCTTCAAACAATACTTGGACTTCAAGAACTTCTAAACAGTACCCTGGGTTACAATAGCTAATAGTCCCCCAAATAAGAAGTCACTGAATGTGTTAGAGTTATTTCCAGTTCACTCTAAATGTGGTAACACTACATTTGAATGGCCTAATGTAAGTTCCTATTTGCAAGAGCTTCTCATTTCACGGAAATCATTGCTTTAATACACACAGGTACACAAATGCCACAAATACTTTACAATCTTTCTACCCATTGTTATTTTAGTATTTTAAGCAACAATTCCATGACAAAAAGTTGAACATACTGGACTACAGTTCAGTTACTTATATGACAGCCTAACATTACTGCAATAATATTTTGCTCACATTCATGTACCATTATAAATGTGTTTTATCACTGGGAGTACACAGTCTGCCTGCTGTGCTCTAAGTAGACTGTAGTTTAGGAGAACGGACTCTGCAGACTTGGGATGTGGTACGTGGCTATCCATAAGCACATATAAAATGCCTATGTAAGTTCCTTTGTTTCTGTAAAGGGGTTGGTCACATACAGTGATACAAATGTATGTAAAGTGGGTGTCTTTGTATATGTATGTTTGTGTATGTGCGTATTGTGAACGCTGGGTGGTGGGTGTTAAAAAGTTTCAAACCACATACACACATATTAGAATTTTCTCAAAAGCCATGCGTTATATTAAAATAGGTATCCCTGTATACGTTCATAGAAGTACATATTGATTTAGAAAACACAGCCAGATTTGATCTGTCTTCAAAGAAAATATTGAAGGTAGGTATTTTTACAATTAATTTTCGTATCATGTCCTAGTCAATATAGTTTCCTTACGTGACAGTGATGTGAAATGTCAGTCTAGTAGTCACTGCTACAAGCAGATTTACATACAACATTTAAAAAACACTTACATATTTAACAGTAATTGGCAGGTACATTTCTTTATCACATCCTGAAATTTTTACTGACCTTTATTTTTCAGGAAATCCTGAGTTCCTGGAGCTCCTCCTTCACCATTTAACATTGTGCCACCTGTGGATCAAGAGAGACCAAGTCCCATGCTTATCTGGGCCTCCTCCCACCAAAACCCCAGCACTGCATTTCCTCTTTAAAACAACATGATACATAGCTCTCATTATAACATTAAAGAAATAACTGAAAACTAACCTTGTCATAGCAAATATTTTATTTAAACCAGTTTATATATTTTAAGGTTGTTTTATGTTTTAAGCTGCTCCAGCCAGCTAGTACCATAAGTGGTATCACATGTGCACAGCATATGCATAGCGGGTGGGTGTGCACATGGATGCACATATAAGTATGCATATATGCATGATGTATAAGCAGTCCTACCGCTCACGATACCATGCTAAATAAACGGCTGTAGTGGACAAAGGTCTACGTCCTAGCTGTGAGGCCTGCTCACATCCATATGGCTCACATCACTTCCTTCCTCTTCCCAAAAGGAACCTGTTCCCTACTGCCTACTGAGAACATAGTTTTACCCAACCATGTCTGGGTATGGCCTGGGAGAGGGCTAGCTGGCAAACGCTGAGACTCTGAGGAGAGCACTAAGCATTAAAGAGCAAAGAAGCCCAAAGTAGTCATTGCAGACACCAGAACCAAAGGCACTGCTTACTCAGGACACCTTTACCCACCAGGGAAGTGGTTGAGTCACCATTCCTGGAAGTATTTAAAAGACATGGAGACATGGCGCTTGGGGACATGGTTTAGTGGTGGACTTGGCAGTGCTAGGTTAACGGTTGGGCTTGATGATCTTAAAGGTCTTTTCCAACCTAAACGATTCTATGATTTAGCAACACCATACCTCTGCACAAAAAGCTCTTGATACCAACTGGACAAATCCCTCCCTATCTTGTCATGAGCAACACTTGAGCACATGCTCCATGACAGGGATTGCAATGTGAAGTCCTTACTGTCACTCGGAGGCAACCACTCACCCAGGCAGCACTACTAATTAAACATAATTTCAAAGCCCGTGGAACCAGGGCTACATGGGCTTTGTAAAACGCCGTCAGACCACAGAGCTGGGGCATGCGGTCAAGCCACAGAGAACTGCAAGAATAACAACTTCCCGCTCTTCTGCACATATGTATTCCCAGATGAGCAATTAACAAAGAAAGATTAATGGTTGCCTTGGAAAAGGCTATGCATCTACCCCACAGTACCAGCTGGACAGTGAGGCAGTCCTTTGCATGACCAATGAAGGCCAACACACTTGAATTTATTTCCAGACCTAGTCAGTTCAAGAATTGACTGAAAATGTGCTTACAGCCATTGAAACACCCTAGGTATCACATGCCTTGAACTATGGCTTGAATGATACTTAGCAGAACTACTGGTTTCTGTAAAACAAATTAACATTTAAACACTAGAGTACAGAAAATCATGGAAATAGATTTTGCTGTCTTTAAAATCAGATTACCGGTAAAAAGGATTTAGCTGAAGCTCCAGACTGGAAACATATTTTGGCCCAGGAAAGTCATGCTGGGATATGGAGTTGATTCCCTTCTGTGCTGTTGTTTCAACTAAAATATTGACTAGCATTAATTATGCTATCATATTGGGATGAGAAGGTTTGCCTAGGCTCACTTTTTAGATAAACCACGTCCTCATCACCCTTCTAACAAAAACTCCATGACTCTGCAAACCTTTATGTGTGCGTTTGGCGTCACACAGAATAGCCTTGTGGCCATGAAAGAGGTCTCTCTGTGGCAGCAAAGGTGTGCAGGTACATCAGTGTTTGCAAAAGCAGGGTTTGTATTTGTCCTACTTGCAGACTTGGTGGATATGTGAAGCACTGAACACCGATCAGAGTAAGTCAGTTTCTCATTATCAGAACTTTTCTGGGATGAGGTGAAGGCAACTGTGATACATTTTGTTCATTATCTGGGAATTACATACTGAAGTAACAGTTTAGGACCTGTTAATCATTTACATCAAAGCACTTTTACGCTATTTTGGCAGTGTAAAGCAATCAGAATGTGTACTGAATTACTACAGCAGTTAGACAGTTTAAATGCTAGTCACAGCCAACGATGGTCAGAACAGACATGGCTAACTGACTTCTCACAAGCCATAATATTCAGAAAGCTAATCCAAGGGTGAAATATTTTAATTTTTGTCTTAAAGGTTTTAAAAACTCCTGAAATGTTAGGCTTACCTGATTATACAAATGCATACCTGATTTTGCAACTGCTCTCAGTTTGGCAGGAGAAGTCACAGCAGTAATTAAATTACACAGCAATGTTCCTCTGCTATTCATTTTCTGCAGTTCAGGTGCTTTTAATGTCCATTCATCTTTTAAATTCTGGTTAAGAAAAACAGTCATTTGTCCATTACAAAACTGATTTCAGACTTAAAAGATTTAGTGAGGAGAAAGGAACAACCTTGCTACTTGGGAATCCCCTGCAGTATATCCAAACATGCAAAGGAAATGGGAATATAAATGTAGACTGCAAGCTCCCCAGTCCCAATTACTGTGACTGTTTACCCCTTAAGTCTGTACTTTCATGTTACTAATAGATGCCCTATTTCCTTCAGCCATATTTCACTTCTCATCTACAATGTCTTACCAATGTATCTTCCAAAGGTTTCTTTAACTCCTCTGTATTCAGAGAGGGTTGCGCTGCTGGAATGCGTTCTGTCGTCTCTTTTATCCATTTCTTTAATGATTCTACAAGGAGCTCAAAAGTATCCATTTGTTTCTGACAAGATGATACATCCTCTTCTCTAGACAAAGACAACAAAAGAAATTGAGTACTGAATGTCAGTATTCCTTCGGATAATTAAACCAACAGATATTATCAATCTGATATTGCTACTCCTAAATTCAAAGTGTCACAAAAACTAGTTTTATGGATATGAGCAGAATGTGGAACATCTAGTCTTGCTGTACAAGTAACTTATATGGAAGCTCTAATAATTTCTCCAGTTTTCCTTTGCAGCCTGATTCCAAACGGTACTCTAAAGCAATTTGCACAAGCAGCAATTTGTATTCTATCAGAAAAGGGGAGAAGTAGGGTCTTCTTAGAACTGACAAGCCTCCTGTAAATATCACAAAATTTGTAAAGAGTTACTTGTCTTTACAGCAAACATTAGAGCTCTTGAACCAGACAGACTAACTACAGAGGCATTTCCAAATAGAATCCCTTTTTTTTTAAATAAAAGAACTCTCTACTCTGTGGTTAACTGCAATCCCTTGAGATTGCATGCAGGAGGATAGCCGTCATCACAACATTCACACTGTATTATTAGCCAAGGCGGAAACACTTTAATTATTCAACTTACTTTTCCTTTACAGCTTCCTCTACCTCTCTGAATTTCTTTGACAAAGCATTTACTTTTTCTAATACCAATGCTTTATCTCCAGGAAGAGCATGGAATGAAAGTTCTTCAAGAAGCTGCTGCAAAACTTCCAGATCCTTCTTATGTTGTGCCAATTCTACACTAGCTTCCTGCAAAACAGGATTACATTGTTCATATTAGACTTCACAATCACTTGTTTAAAATTAAATTCTTGATTTTAGCTAACCGACCAAAGTTGGGAAACAAGCACACCTTATTTATTGGTTCAATCACTTAGATGAGTTAGACTAGAAATGCACAATATATACAAATGGAATGGTACAGTACCTGCATATATTGATACACTTCACTAACATCCTTTCTTGGTGCCTCCGTCTCACTGAGTGCCTGGTTTTTCTCATCTAGAAATGACTGAAGTTTTTCTGACAGACCTTCAAATAACTCCACTTTAGTCTTCAACTCCTCCATTTTCATAAGCTTCTCTTTATGCTTGTTACTTGCTTCAGAAAACCGTCCTGCAAGTTCACTCATTTTAGCTTGCAGCGTGGATGCAGTGGATGGATCTGCTGTTTCTGTGAACTTCTTCACTTTTTCATTCATAGTGTTTATACTGCTTTGGCGACCCGCAATGTCTTGTTCTAGCATCTGAAACAAGCAAGAACTACTCTGTATTGCTTATAACTAAATTTTAAGTTACTTGCTTCAGAAAACCGTCCTGCAAGTTCACTCATTTTAGCTTGCAGCGTGGATGCAGTGGGTGGATGTGTTTTTTGTTTGTGCTTCTTCACTTTTTCATTCATAGTGTTTATACTGCTTTGGCGACCCGCAATGTCTTGTTCTAGCATCTGAAACAAGCAAGAACTACTCTGTATTGCTTATAACTAAATTTTAAGAAGTGAAACTCGTCCACCATATCAAGCAACAAATCAGTACAGCTAGACCATCAGTGTAGATCTATTTCAGCTACAAAAATCCTTATGTGCAGTTCCACTTCACGCAACAGTCCTCTTTATTAAGTATTCTGAATCCATTAAAGGTGCCAAACTAAGATTTTAACTCTTTCTTGAAATCTGAATTCTCAAACAAATGTTTCTTCAGAGAATGCTACTTACAATGCTTTTACTAATAATATCCTGAATAGCAGCAGAATTCAAAGGCACTTGATCTTGTTCTTCAAGGCTCTTTTCAACACCTTCCATCCAATCCAGCATTTCATCCAAACCATCCTGCACGCTTAGGGATCGTGTCAGAGTTATTTGGAGCTTCTCATTCCTTTCATTCACAGACTTGGATAAATTGTCATACCTATCCACAACATCATCTGATAAAGAGAAAATGTATTTCAATTTTTTCCTTTAGCCAAACTAAGCTTTTAACTCATTTTACCAGTTCTCACCAGGTAAGTGTGAGTCAAAAATTGCCTACATCAGAATGAAGCAAAACCATCAGCTTTATTCAGTAAAAACACACAAGCAAAGATCAAAATCTTCAAACAGAGACAAGAAGCCCATAGGACAAGGGAAATGAGGGAACAGCTTACAGCTGTGCTCCCCAGCTTTTAGAAGCTGGTTCCCACGCAGCTCTAGCTTATGACAGCTGTTGACTGTTCCCAAGAAATAAAATAGCAGAGTATTAAGACAGCTCTTCTACAATTATGTCTCTTATGTTATTAGAGCCGAAAGGTTCTTCCAGATGGTTCTTCATTAGACCTTCAACACTTTCAGGATAAGCCTCAGAAAGTTACAAGTTCCATGTACCTCTCATGGAGTTTCATCACCAACTCCAAAGCGGCAAGCCCACAGTTGTTTTATTTTGTTGCTCTGCAAGTTACTTACGGGATTTCAGTAAGAGATAGTTGTGTGATACACATACAGAGTCTTCAAACTTCAGACAGTGGTGAATGTCATGCTGTCCTACTTCTCACAACCGACAGGAAAGAGTATTGGGTGTAGGTGGTAAGGTTTTGGTACTGGCAAAGTTTTTGGCCTCTGTGAGAAGAGGCCAGGGGCTGCCCCGTGGAAGACACATAGACGGTTCCAGCTGGCTCCAACTGACCCACCACAGGGTACAGCTGAGCTCCTCAGCCAAGGTGGTGGTGCCTCTGGGAAATGTATTTAAGAAAGGGGAAAATGATGCCTGAGAGTGAGAAGTGAGGGGGAAAAAAAAAGTGTGAAAAACAGCCCTGCAGACATCAAGGTCCAACAAGAAAGAGGGGAAAGAAGTGGCTCCAGGTGCTGCAGCAGATTCCCCTGAAGCCTGTGGCGGACCATGCTGGAGCAGATAACCACATTGCAGCACATGGAGGACCCAACGCTGGAGGCGGTGGATATTTTCTGAAGGAACTACAGCCCATAAAGAGCCCACGCTGGAGCAAGATGATCCTGAAAGACTTGAGCCTGTGGAGAGGACGCATGCTGGAGCAGGGGAAAAGTGTGAGGAGGAAGCAGCAGCAGAGAGGAGCTGTTATGGACTTACCACAACCACCCATTCCCCATCCACCCTGCACTGTTTGGCAGGGAGGAGGTGCGAGTAGTTGGGAAGGAAGGAGTGATGGTGAGCCTGGAAAAAAGTGGGGTGGGAGGAAGGTGTTGCTTTAATTTGTCTTTGTTTCTCACTATCGAAACCTATTTTATTTGGCAATGGGAAAAGTCTGGTTTGCCCACGATGATAATTCGTAAGTGATCTCCCTATCTTGACCTATGGGCTTTTCCATCTTATTTTCTACACCCATCCTGTTGGGCAAGGGGAGTGAGAGAGCAGCTGGGTGGGCATCTGGCAGCCAGCCAAGGTCAACCCATCACAGACAGTTTCTTGAAGTCAGAAGGAAATAATTCCTTGGCTAAGCAAACTTCAAATAATTGCTTGGAATCAGATAGTTGGGGTCATGTTCCTTGAACCTGAACATGCTCCTTCCCACTGGAGAATTTATGATCCTCAGCAAATCACTAACTCTGTTTGGCATGCCCATCTGTAACATGGGAATTAAACGTAATCCCTATTTCTGAAAAAAAAAGTCAAAAATAAAATTACAGCTTTTAAGTGAAAAGCATATGGATCAAGCGTAGGAGGCAGACCAACAATGAAGTTACTGTGTTGTAAGAGCTTATGACTCAACAAAACGTGGCCTTTGAACAGTGACACAAGAATGTGGAAACTCTGTATTTTGTCTCTTCCAGTACCTGCAAGCAGACACAAGTGATAAAAAGCGGTATTAAGAAAAGTAAACATTTTACCCAGTGTTTTCTGAATCTCATCTTTGTCTGGTGTCAACTCTCCCCTTGTATCCAGTAACACTTCAGCAGCTTTTTTCAGTTTTTCTACAGCAATTTGGTGGTTAGACACTTGTCCCTGAAGAATCTGTAAAATTCCACAATTATCAGTTATGCTTTTCAATACAGCTAATAGTTACACATGCAAGGCTTGAGATATGCCATACAACCTGAACTTAGTGCTGGGAATAAACTAACTCAATTTGTGACCTCTCCTTAAGAAAAACCTTCACCAGTGGCTACGACTGCTGTTGACCTTCTGGCCCTTGTTTTAGTTTGTTCACCATCTTTTTTATCTTCTGTTTTACAATACTTCTCTGACTCAACTGGTTTCTTGCATGTAGCTTCAAAATGTGTCTTTTGATTAATTGTTTTTAAAGACCACTTCTACAGACTCATATACTATCCAAAAGAAAAATAAACATATTTTTCAACTCAGCATCAGAAAACAATTCAGGGGGAAAATGTACAGTCATCAGCAGTAGTTACACATTCACCATCAGTTGTATTGACAAAGGATCAGGCTGATATCATAGCGTAAACAGGAATAGCTTGAAACAAGATGTTCACCTTCACAGTTTAGGAACCTCCTGGAGCCAGTCTCACTGAATTTTGCCTAGGTTTGTCCATCTAACCAAGGAACACAGGTTTAGAGACCAGCCCAGCCATGACTCACTCCAGAGTCAACACAGAAAGACAGGAAGGCTGAGTCAACTTCTGAAAGTGGCTTTCTCTCTCCAGTGTATAAAAGTACTTTAGGGTGAATAGTCTTTCAATTATTTCAGGCCTCTGTGCTAGTGTATATGATGTATCTTTGCTTTGATTCACTTGAACTTTATACAAGTCCAAAATGAAGGGACTTCTCATTTATTTTTTGATATACACTAACTCAATGAACATATGACTCAAAAGGTAATCCTATCTGCCCTGCCAGGACAAAGAAGTCATGTCAATGCATCCAGCACTGGTATCCAGAGCACAACAGTATGCCAACATAGTATGTCTTGCTGACCCACTTGACACAACAAAACTCAGATAGACCCGAAGAGGAATTTTCCTTACACTAGAGAAATATACTGTACTTGTGCAAAAAAAACCCCAAAAACGAACCCAAAAAAAGACATACCAGAAAACCTTGTATGCTGACAGAAAGCAAACAAGCTGATGCCAGAGGCACTGAAGAATATTCTGAAGAACAGTTAATCCCCATAAAAAGATTAGACCCCACCATGCTGCCGAGGTCTGTGTCTAGCTGGATTATCAGCTGCATGTGTTGGCTACAAGGGACAGCTTTAACTTGCAACACCTGACTTCTTCAGAAATACTCTTTGTTTTGCTTTCATTAATTGGCTTGCTTTGTTCAGCCTCCTGTTTTTTCTCTCCTTTGAATCTTTTGACATGTTGTACCCTCTCCCTTCTTCCCAGCTCATATTCATTGAGTGCTCTTTTGTATGGCAAGTAATCCATGTAGGCGTCTCATAAAAGAACCCCAGTACTCACTCCTTTTGTATTACTTGCATGACAATTGGCATTATACAGGATATAATTTGTTTTGGCGTAAGGAACAAAAAATGAAATGAAGGTTCAAATTGTAATTGGTGTTATTCCTACTTTTCTAGCACTTGGAAGCACAAATGTACGTAAATTGTTCCACTGTTAGGAGTTCAAAATTTACACTTTTGATTTTGTTGTCTTACAATTTTTGTCTCCTCTGATGTGTCATGCGCCAAAGTGTTGGGCAATTCCAGTGTCAGATTTGAAAGATACAATGTGGTAAAGGTAACTACTGCTGAGGCTGATGTAAGGGAAATGGTTAAAGCACGTACTTTCCAAGAGCTATTGACTACCATTTGTCAATAGCAAACGTATCAGACCTGCACGGATACTCCACATAGCACAGATGAAACAGTGAGGAAATGCCCGACCAATAGCCTTGCTCACTGAAAAATAAATAAACTTGCATTTTAACTATAGTATAGATGACTGAATGCGTTTATGAAAAAACAAGAGTCAGTTCAAAGACGACAGACTACATGAAACTTTATATAACTCACCTTATACTTGGGTTCCTAAAGCCTTCTGTAAACCTACATTTTACGCAACTAACCAGAGTTTTACCTTCACAAGCTCCATCACTAACCTGTCTTGCCTCTACTAGGATTTACATAAAGTTGTGAGTTACTCCCTCAGTGGATTTAAAAAAAAAAAAAGAGAAAAACAAAATACTGTTTTTCTGTGCGGCGTAATTTATGTTATATTCACTCTCTGCACGGCACATAGTACTGGATGCAACTGAAACAGGCAAACAGACTAGTCACATCACACTGCTTATCCAGTATGATCCCTTTCATAATGCAGTAACACACAAATGTGAACAGCAAAAAGCAAGAGTCACAGACAACAAATGGTCTTCTCTATCAGGAACTCAGTCCCAAGCCCTACTCTGATAGCAAACTGTAATCACTAAATCGTTTCTTAGTTCAAAAACTTTCCAGATTTCACCCTATCATTTGCTAAGTGATATGAAACACATCTTGCTTTCACCACTGCTAATGGCATCTTGGTCCCCCATTTTTTTTTACCCTAGGGCTTTTCAGGTAACACTCTGGACAGCTTGAGTTGAAGAACTGTAAAAGTTGTACGCCCACATGCAAGGCAGGAATTTGGCCTGCAGCCACTTGGATTATATTAGATTATCCTGTTTTTCAGAGAAAAAGCAGTTCCTTTTAGGACAGAAGTACTTCTGCTTTTTAAAGCTTTTCACCTTGGTTTCTTCTAGTTGTCTTTGGAGATTTTTGGGATCCACTGCAATTGGCTCTGATAGTTGTTTGTTCACAGCTATTTCAGAGGCCTGGAGACCTGACAGAAGTCCAGATGAAGCATCTTCATAATGCTGGTATTTATCCACGAGGTCTTTAAGGTTATTTCCAAGGATGCTACACTAAAAGAGTAGAAACCAAACAAGCAAATACCCAGGCATTAAACTGTGTGCTGCATTTCAAACCAATCTCAAGCTCATACTTCCCCTCCTGAAATACTGCATGATTTTTTCCTGTCATCATTCCACTGTCTAACTGATTTCTGAACTAAGGTACGACAGCCGGACAGGCTACGCAGGTCTTCCCAGATTGTGCTCCTCAAGCGTGATTTAGGATCAATTCACTGATGCAGGTGGGAAATTGCAATCTAACCCATTGTACTAGAATAGGAGAAGCTTTAGGAAGACTTTTTGATCCACCAATGTAAAGATTCTTTATCAGCACTCTGCCACCAAAAATGTAGCCAGTGGAAGCTAGAAATTTTCAAATTCAAAAATCAGAAGATACGCGTATGTTCATTAAAATACAGACAGCAGAATATTGCTTTCATAAATACCTTATCTGCATAGCGAATCCAAAGCAATATGGCTTGGTATGGCACATATACTTTGTTTTGGTCACTTAAGAATATCGTCTGACCAAGATCCTATTAGTCCTATATGTTAGCATGCCCCAACATGTATACAGTGACTCATCATGCAAAAAGGTCAGTGGAACTCTTTCAGAATTTTTGGAGATTGTCTCACAAGCAAAATCTGACTGTATCAAATCATAATATTTATAAACAGTTACTTTAAAAATTTATATTCTGAACTTTCCATACACTGTCTTTTAATATTTACATTTGGTACTTGGTCTCCATCTGGTGGGCAAACATAGAATGCACTCATTTACATAACCAGTTAACTAAGAACTGACTTTAAGATTCCTTCAACGTATAAGCCTATAAACTCATATGTGTGTGTGCGAATATATATATAAAAAAAATAAATGCAACATAAATATTTATTAAAAGCAAGAAGCATTTACAAAAGGCAAAAAGGTTACTAGAAACCCATTTACAACTTGAAAGATCTCACAAATTGTGGAAGATTTCACTTTTTAAAAGACTGTCCTTCAAGACTCTATTTAATAAGAGAAGCCTATTTGTGTTGGTTTTGCTCTGCATATTTATGGTCAAATATTTAACGCATGTCTATTACAGCTGTGCTAAATGCATATATGGAAAGGATAGAATTTGGCAAGTTGACAAATCTGAGACCACAAATCAAGCTGCTGGCATAGGATTTTTAGGTGCATAAAAATAAGCTCTCTGAAAATTTTGCAATGAAATCTTTACATTCACACTCAAACTAATTCAATAAACCAACTGGAGGAAGTCGAACATATTCATACAAGCTTTTAGCTTCACTGTTCATATATGAAAATGAGCTTCTGCAAACAGAGAGCCTTCTTCACAAACTGTTCGAGAGAACGGGTTTTACACCAGTTTTGTAATCAAGCGATCAAATCCATGTCTTTATAGAATTTACATTTCTGAGCAAGAAAACGTTAGATGAAAATTCCCGAAGATGGCAACTGCTGCAGACCTACACTGTTATCAGTGGACACCGAAGCTCTACTAAGCAGTCTGAACCTATGATCTTAGAAAATCATGAAACGGCATAGTCAAAGGATACTGACAGCAACTGTCTCTTAAATGGTTCAATTAATAATGATCTCAAAAGTTTACAATTCCAGAATATTATCAATATTGAACAACACTTTGTTGGTTTTTCGAAAACAGCTGGAGAGTTGGAATGTGAGACCAGTTGATGTTTGTCTAGTTCTATCAGACAGATTCCGTATGTGAATCTGGCACAGAGAGCTGGATTATCTTCCCTCTCTTAAAGTACATGGAGGATTTTGCACTGCTAGTTTCCCATTAGTTAGAGACTAATCTCAGATTGTCAAGGATAAAATGTTTATTTGACAGAGTAGTGGAAAAGAATTGCTATCCTCAAATCACTACGTTCTTGCATGCCTAGTGCTGACAACAAAGGTCACATTGGGACAAACTATTTCAGGACACAAATCAAAATGAAATTTTGAATGTTAATCTTGGCATAGTCTCTCTCTTTCTATACTCATTTTATTAGTAGGAAGCCAAGTAAATAAGCAGTTGTGGGAAATATCACACGGAACATAAAGAAATGTTATCCATCTAGAAATATTACAATTTCTTTCCACCCCAACATGTTACTCAGACATCCTGTACTGTCACAAACTCAAAGAGTTTGTTTAAGGCTGGAAAGAGCAAATGAGGAAATCTGGTCTGATTTCTCCCTTACAACACAAGGTAGAAAATTTCATCCATTCAGACCTTAAATAGTCTGGCGCTTGACTAAAGCAGATCTTCTAGAAAATCATCTTGTTCTGTTATCTAACTTTAAGAAACAAAGAATTTACAACTTCCCACAGTATGTTTCATCAGCTAACCCCTTTTTATACAAACTGCCAAATCAATTACAGTAGTCTTTCCTACTCAGTATAAATAAAACTTACCTTAGTATAGAGAGATTTGAAACGATCTGAAGCACTATCCAGTTTATTTTGCACTTCAGCATACGTAGCCGAAGTATCGATACCATCTTTGTCAACCTTCACACCATCTCTTTTGCTACATGACCTTGCAGCATCTAAAACTCTTTGTCCAGAAATTGTAATATACCGTAAATCACCTTTGTGAGAGATAACATCTTCCGAAAAACTCTTTTGCCTTTTCAGTTTGACCATAATACCACTGAAGTCAGAAGCACCTGCCTCCAAATTGTCAAGTTCTTGTTCTGCCTGCTGCAGCCAGGTTTCAAATTCACTATAGTCTGCATGAAATTTCTCAAGTTCTTCTCTTAGAGAATGAGTCAACTTCATTTTCCGTTCCAATTCAGCTAAAGCAGTCTCGTACTGAGCCTTCAGCTCTTTCATGTTCCTTTGCATCTTGTCTTTTTCTTCAGGGGAAAGGTAGTGCCCTTGTTTTTCAAGCAGTGCCTGAGCAGACTGAGTTGCTATTATGACAGCCTGCTGCTGTGAAATAATTTTCTCATGTTGAGCCTACGAGAAAAAAAAAAAAATTATGACCAGCACCTTCTCGGATGGTGCCATTAGACCATTATTGTCTTGAAATCTCTGCTGAATTCTGTTAGAAACAACAAGAAAAACGAAGTCCATCATAATGATAAAAAGCTTTTCTAATTTTCATATTACTTATTAAAAAACATTCTGTCAGTAATTTAAGTGAAAGCATGACTCCTGGTAATCATATTTCTGTGCAGTTTCAAAATTTTATGAAACTTCCAATGGTAATTTTAGCCAGATATACAGGCCACGACCAAATGGGAGTCTTCAAACATCACTGGAACTCGGAAATACTAGGATATATATCACACAAACGCTTTCCCCGTTCTTCTAAAAGACAACTCTGTATAATAAAACTAGACATTATCAATCTCTTAATTTTTTTTCCCTAATAAAGTATAAATAAAACTTACCTTAGTATAGAGAGATTTGAAACGATCTGAAGCACTATCCAGTTTATTTTGCACTTCAGCATACGTAGCCGAAGTATCGATACCATCTTTGTCAACCTTCACACCATCTCTTTTGCTACATGACCTTGCAGCATCTAAAACTCTTTGTCCAGAAATTGTAATATACCGTAAATCACCTTTGTGAGAGATAACATCTTCCGAAAAACTCTTTTGCCTTTTCAGTTTGACCATAATACCACTGAAGTCAGAAGCACCTGCCTCCAAATTGTCAAGTTCTTGTTCTGCCTGCTGCAGCCAGGTTTCAAATTCACTATAGTCTGCATGAAATTTCTCAAGTTCTTCTCTTAGAGAATGAGTCAACTTCATTTTCCGTTCCAATTCAGCTAAAGCAGTCTCGTACTGAGCCTTCAGCTCTTTCATGTTCCTTTGCATCTTGTCTTTTTCTTCAGGGGAAAGGTAGTGCCCTTGTTTTTCAAGCAGTGCCTGAGCAGACTGAGTTGCTATTATGACAGCCTGCTGCTGTGAAATAATTTTCTCATGTTGAGCCTACGAGAAAAAAAAAAAAATTATGACCAGCACCTTCTCGGATGGTGCCATTAGACCATTATTGTCTTGAAATCTCTGCTGAATTCTGTTAGAAACAACAAGAAAAACGAAGTCCATCATAATGATAAAAAGCTTTTCTAATTTTCATATTACTTATTAAAAAACATTCTGTCAGTAATTTAAGTGAAAGCATGACTCCTGGTAATCATATTTCTGTGCAGTTTCAAAATTTTATGAAACTTCCAATGGTAATTTTAGCCAGATATACAGGCCACGACCAAATGGGAGTCTTCAAACATCACTGGAACTCGGAAATACTAGGATATATATCACACAAACGCTTTCCCCGTTCTTCTAAAAGACAACTCTGTATAATAAAACTAGACATTATCAATCTCTTAATTTTTTTTCCCTAATAAAAATTATTTGCTTATTACTTAACATTTAGGGTAGTGTGCTTAGTGTAATCAAAATTTTCCCAATTCCCTGTCTCAAAATAGGATTTATCAAATAAAGCATTCAAAGGTAGGCAACTTCCCAAATAAAAACTGTTCCATTTCCTGTTACATATATTGTAACTACCATTTCAAACAGACCAAAAGGAATGAAAGCATCGAACATTAAAAAGAATACAGATACTTTCTTCTTATATTGAGTGAACAAACATTATTATCCAATTTTTTTTAATTTAATTTTTCAATTTAAAGACCAGCGATTCTTATCAAATATACTTGGTCATAAAAGAGGTCCTTTTGACATTAAAAATTGAGACACATTCTATGCATGTAAATTGTTTCAATCTCACAAAAAAATAGTAAGTCATAGGAACTAGAACTATATGCCAAATAAAATCTATATTTCAAATAGATTCTTTCAAAAAATCTCCATTCTTGAAGGTCCTCTATTCCCACATAAAATAGACTGGTATGCTTTTCTTCCATGAGTACAGTGGGCAATTACCCTGTAGGCATTAGGTGCAGAAAAGAGCTGTCAAAAACGTGGAAGTAAAAACATTACGTATACAAAAACAAATTATCTCATTTTCTTAGGTTGTTTTTTTTTTTTTAATAAGAAAGGAAATCAAAAATAGCATCAGCTATCAGCATTAGCATTTTCATCAACATGTCCATCAAACCACACCTAAAAGTTCTTGGTTGCTTAACTGTAAGTCAACAAAAGCCACAAAACTGAGCTCTGATTATTTTAAATGCTTCCAATTATCTTACCTGGAAAATCTATTTTTAAAATGCTGTGCTGTGGTTTTATGTAACTCATCCTTCTGAAGCCTTCAAATAGTGCTTTGCCCATGTGTTAAAGTTATAGGGAATTAAGATTGTAATTTCAGCAAACTATTATTTGCACCTATTGGTAACCACTGTTCACAGGGAATTGCAGGGGGTTGAATCATTTGGCTACCACAAAGATTTTTTAGAAAGTCACATAAAGGATATGAATTTACGTTGCTGCTTTTTGCATTTTCTTTACCTGCATTAATTTCTCACTATAAAAATAAAGAATAGACTCACCATCAGGATTCTCAACATTTACCTTGTAGAACATGTCCTTTTTCTTATTTTGCAAGAAACAACCACAGTACCAGCAAAAAAGTGACAAATTTGCAATACATTCTAACTACTGAAATTCCTACCACTGTGTATCACTAACTTCCTAGTGCCTGTTCCAAAGTCCATGACAGAAAGGATGAGATTGAATTCACTCATGTTGAATGAGGACTGACACGCTTAGCACCTAAATGTTGAATAAACTCAGTAACAGTACCTTGACTTTCTGATACTGCTGGTTCAGATTATCTTCTGTGCTTTTTACTAGTCCATCCACCCGAGTTTCAATGTCTTGCTGAATTTCCAGCAGATTACCATTGACATCGTCCTCCTCTCCTTCCAAAGCCTTCACATCTCCCTCTTCAAAGTGCGTTCCATTCTGTTCTATCGCCTGCTTAAATTTCCGGCCGTGCTCTGCTTCTTTATCCACATTCGATAACCAATCCAAGAGATTTTCTATTGTATTTTTACTTTCTTCCAGCTGTTCTATAGCTGCAACCTACATTGAAATTTTACAGTTTCAGTTTAGAAATCTTCTTCAGGCACTACAAAATATCATATGCAAACAGACCATTTAAAATACATTAACATTAAACAAAATTTCTGGTTGACATATATGTTGCTGTTTATTTTATAAAGAAAATAACCAGCGAACAGTTTATTAGTCACCCAAATGAAATATGATTTTAATCTTTCCACAGTATATCAACAATAAGTTGCAAGACTAATCCCCTAAGACACCTAAAAAGTTTGAATAAAGGTTGCCTAAAAACCTTTTCTGTTTCCTGCTTAATTGCTGTTGTCATAGCTTTATCCAGTTCTTTTTTGGACTCTTCTGCCTTCTGGCTAAGGAGCAAACACTTTGTCTTAGCTTCATTCAGTTTCTGTTCAAGAACAGTCTTGTCTTCTTGTGACAACTTTTCGCCATTCTCTTTCAAGAAGGTTTCAGTATTTTTCACAATCTCTGCCAGAGTCTGGGCACTCATTCTCATGTCTTTTTGTATCTCCTTTTGAGAAAAAAGAAGCAAATATGAGTAAGTAAATTATTCACCAGATCTTTCCAACTAACTTTACTGGAACTATCTCTGTTCTAGGGGCAAGCACCACAGTGGTCCCTTCTAACTTGGGAGAGTACATGATACATTACTAAATTGCAGCTAGGATTATTAAAAAAATAAAATCAATTCAACGTCTGACAATGTTGCTGCAGCTCAATCTTTTTTTTTTTTTAAATTGCAAGTCTGTTGGCTTACACTCCTATCCAGACTGAGGCCACTCTTTTCCTTTGTTTAGCAGCTCAAATATTGTATTTCCATGTACACAGAAGAAAATATATCTTACTTTTTAGATTTCAAGAGTAAAATCAAAGTAAATCTGCTGTGCTGTAGTTAGTAAGGTGAGTCTCCTGACAAATACCATTCCATTACTATCCTAACAGAAAGCTGTGGAAAATAAGGGGACTGAATAAAAGTCAGAAACTTGTAGTCATCTTTCCCAGGTGGAAGTTCTCCCATATTTCTTGGTTTTGTTCAGGCCAGAAATGCCATAAGAATATTTTTCTTTGATTTTAATCAATCATAATATTTTGATCTCCAAAGAATGTTTAAGTCCATTAAATTTCACAGAGGACAGATGTTTAGTTTTAGTTTATCCAAAGCAGTTTGCCTAGACCTAGGATAGAGTCAGATAAAAAAAATCTGTCTCCCAGTTATCTGAGGGGAGTTTTACTTCTAACAATAATTATGCTGTTGAATACATTCACCCAGTTACCGAAATAATGAACTTTTTTTTCCTTATATGCAGTGTAACACTCTTGAAGCTGCAAGACAAGACATTTGATTCTCATTCTATACTACAGATTTTGCAGCAATTATAGAATATAGTTTGGCAGCTAAAACTGCAGCTCATTTTAACACTTCAGCACGTACGTTAGAAAGATTTTCCTGGGGACACTATATCAAGACAAGATTCTCCTTCTCTGACAAAGATCTCTGTGCTTCCTTTCAAACAGCTCACTGAGGATGAAAGTTCTGATCTGATCTATGAAAGACCTTTTTTAAGCCCCCGTTCCCCTCCCAAGACACACTTCTACAATGGTGTCTACAAGAAATCAGTTGGCAAATAACAACTCCTCTGCTAGGCAGTCACAAACAGCTGATGGAAAAAAAATGAAGCACATGCTACCTCAGTTCTTCACTCCCATGGGTACCCCATTTTGGCCATAAATTCTTAAGACAGGTAAGCAATATTAAGAGGTATGCCAGGGGTGTCTGTATCTTTCCACTGACTATAAGGAGACCTTTGACAAACTCGATGTGTTACTTTGAAGATAAGTAAAGCAAAGCAAGATGAATAAGGAAATTTCTGCCTTTATAGATTACTAAACCTTATTTGGAGCTCTACAACATAGTAAACTACTACTAGGAAAAGGAGGAGGAAGAAGACTACCAAGTCCTTCAGTCCTTTAACTATCATAAACTCAATTAGCATCAGTCAGGACAGAGTAAAAACTTATAGATGACAGGATACAGCTGAAAAGCAAGCTCTCAGTAGGAAAGCAAGCAAACTGAGAGGGCTCTGCTACACAAGAACACCAAGGAGATTGCAAGCAACACTAGAAAAAACAGAATTTAAACCAAAAGAAGAGTGATGCAATGGAAAGCCTCAGGCAAGAGAAAGCCTTGCAGCAAAATTCTTCAAAATACTGTGAACAGGAATAAGCACTCCCTAATACCAGTAAAAAAGTTGATTAAGTGATTTTAGCGTAATAAACAAGTCTGATTTTATCATATCTGACAGGAACAATCTTAAGCTAAAGATTCATATAACAAATTTCATGCCTGCTCCAAGAGTGCTTCTTGAAATGTCTTGTACATTTTCTAGTGTCTTCTAGTTTTAAAGTTTTTTTTCTCCCACTGGCACATACTGGAGTGTATTCATGGGCAGCAGTTTAAATGCACACCATTAAGCCTTTACTTTTGGTAGGTCAAACAAGTCTATTTTACTCTTCTCTCACATGACAGTCTTGTAATTCAACAAAAGAGTCTAGTCACTCCCCTCTGCACTCAGTCTTCTTTAACTTATCTGACGAGAATTGTGCATACCTCCTGTTTGGTCTGGTATTGTTCTAGCTCAGCCTTGCTGTCTCCAATAACAAGAGACTCTTGCTGTCCGATGAGTCGATTTTCAGTCTGTGTAAGCAAATCACAGATTTCCTGCAGTTTCTCTTTGCATTCCTGCTGCCGTTCAGCCACATCCTGTATTAGAGCCAAATACAATCGAACAATAAAACAAAAACGTCCTCACTTCATCAACTAACAGACACTCTAATAGGAATTACCTCTGAACATCAATATTGCAAAGCAATCGCTTTAGAAGTATGCTGTAAACATGATAGCAGTGGTACAAAGAGCAAGATGAACATACAGAAGTTGTGAATAAACCTCAAATATGTTGTAAGTAAAAGAGACCATGTTTGATGGAATTGCCCAATAGAAGTCTGGCCATGCACGTATGTGAAAGATGAAATCTCCAAATGACAGGAGGGAAATCCAGCCTCTTAACCGCTGAAACCTGTGATAAACACTATTAATTCTGAAAAAAGGATATCAAAACAGAGGTTAGTTGTGATCGTGAGTTAGCTCTTGTTGGTATGCATAATGTTACCTGAATAGAAAATGTTGACTTTTTAAGCAGTAGAAAAGAACAAAACATGCAAGCTCATTATTCTTACTAAGTCCTAGAAAAGTATCTATGCCTCTCCTTTACTCAATTTTATGTTTCTTTGTCTGACAAAGTATGGTAGAAACAAATGGTAAAATAATACAAAGTCCTCAGAATGCTAAACCACCTTTCATTACGCATAAACTGGGGGTTGAGGTGGTGATTCTAAGTCTTAGCAGTGCTTCTGTGAGAGAAAAGGAGATGCAGTTACACTGCAGCATCTCATCAGCCTCCTTTGATTCTACAAAGGCTGCATATGCTTGCCAACTGCAGCCATGCTAGCTGAAGAGGTAACTGTCCCAGCTTGACGCATAGCTTTCCCAGCGCCCATGCCTAGAATTGCAAATATCTTAGCTGGTTTAGTCATATGTTTGTCCCTCTAACCTGTCTCAGTCAAAACAAGCCATGATAGCAAGGATTTGAACAAATCCGGTTCTTTGACTATAAAGACCTAGATAAAGATCACGTAAGCAGATGACCTGGCAAATCAGAGGAAAAGAAAGTCTTCAGCAGGACAGAAGTGATTGAGCAATGGTGGGATAGTAAATTCATTGATCAATACAACTGCAGCCAGAAGAGTTGACTGCTTTAATTATTGATATAGCTGCTAAACAAACAACACCTGTGAGAAACCCCAAGTAAATTTCTCTCATTGCTAGAAAGAGCAGATGTGGTTATGTCAGGCTGTACAGATCCTAATGCCCAAAACTGTGTCTGTCCATAATCTAACATACTGCTTCTGTGACTGTACCAAGGAAAGACAAAAATGACAATTCACCAAACTTGATCAATTACCATCTTTGTAGAACTATGAGAGTATCTGTAGTAAAACTGAGAAGATAGGAATACACTTAATACTGCATGCTGGTATTAAAATTCCTCATCCATAGACAAAAACACTCAGCACACGTTTACACAGAAAGGCAAACCTTCTGATCACCCAGCTCTTGTGCTGCCTGTAACTGAGTCTCTAAACTTTCCACTTGAGATATTATTGCTTCCTGTACTTCCTGAAAAGATTTTTGGGTGGTATTTAAGAGCCTCAGCAACTGTTTGCTCTGATTAGGAGAAAGATCTTGGGCATGTTCAGAAATGAAGAACTGAACATCAAACGCAGTGGACTCCAGTTGCGTTTTTTTACAGCCGAGTTCTGCAGCACTGTTCTGTAAACAAAGAGAAGGAAATTACTAGCAATGAAGACAAATTCAGTACAAATGAAACACAAGTATCACTACCTTCTTTTCTTAGCCCCTGTTCCAAAATGCTTTGGGGGATAGTTTAGCCAGAGTCAATCAAAACTCTGTGTCAGAATCATTCTGACACATTCAGATACGGCATTTGAATTTGTGTATGGTTTGCTGCTGGGACAGTCCAGGTCCAAGTAATAAATAAGATGACCTTGAACATCTCTATTTCTTTGCTCTCTCATGGATATCTGAAAACAGGCTGACCTTCAACTCTGGAAGATTTACGGCAGGTTAGGTTTAACATTTCTAGATTCTAGGTCTGAAGACCCAGAAATGTTAAAATATTTACTTGAAAGCATTCCTATTCTTAACTCCGCAGCGAGAAGCCCCATTTCCAGCATTGTGGCAAATTCTGCCCACAGTTACGCACTGTGCAGCCCCTATGACATTACCATGCATACTGGAACCCTATTAAAGCACAGTGAAATAACGTCATTTTTATCATTCATACACACAGAGGTGTATGAACTTTACTAAAAATCTTTTCTGATTTGTTTTCCATGACTCATTTCATGGAGTGTGTAATGAAGAGGCTTTTTATCTTCCCCCATCTTCTGTTCTCACATATAATTGATTTCGAAGGTAATTAAACTTCAGTAAAGATTCTGGACCTTATGCTTAAAGATCCAATTTTAATCACTGAAACATTTGTATTATAAATTAGATTTCCACAAAGGGTCAGATTTATTGCAACAAATGTAAGCAGAACCAATAGCTTTCTCAGTAAGCCAGCCTAGCAAAAAGTTTTTCAAGAGAAAAAGCAAATCAACAAGATTTTATTACTGGATTATCAAGTAGTTGTCTTCTTAAGTAATTAGTTCTAGCCACCTGTTTAAGCAATAGAGGTTAATGAGCAGGTATACAAATCCTAGCTAATAATTCATAGTAAGTAGCAACATCTGTCAGAAGCACCAACACCTGCCATAAAGAATACTTACTTTAAATAGCTGTAAACTTTTCTTCATCTCTTCTATATCATTAGTATTCACTATGAAGTCATTCACGATTTTACCGTTCTCTGTGATCCAGTCTGAAAATCTCTGCAGTTTGCTTAAAAGTTGCTGGTGTAATACTGCAAGCTTAGACTGGAAAGGGAAGTTGTGTATTTATTTATGCCCCTGGAGTCTAGTCATGTTTCCTATCATATTAAATAGAATGATACATCTATTTTTATATTAAGATAAAACAAAATAAAGCTAAAACAAATTCCTTCTTTTTAGTCAAACTACCTTGAAGAAAACCAAGGTTAAAATGTACACTGATAAAAACATACCATTTCCAAGTCAACAGCACAGACTATTTGTTTCGCTCGTTTCGAAGATGTATCACAGACCACCAAAAATGCTTCCTGCAAATACTCATAGCTTATCTTTAGCTCTTTAAGCTTCTCTTCAGGAATATCCCTGTTATAAAACTTTAAAAACTCTTCTGTCAATTTCATGTCCTTTTTTAGGATAATCGCAAAGGTAGCCAGTCCTGATTCAAATGACTACAAAGAGAATATATATAAAATGCATTAAGTTACTAAGCAAGAAAGACATTTAAATCTGAATTACTTTAATTATATTTGAAATCTCTCGTTTTTATCATCTAAGGGCTTTTTCTAGCACCCATCACTGAAGTACAAGCATAAAGAACACTTTACTTACCTCTAGTTGTTCCAGTTCATCTTTTAGTATTTCCAGGTTGTTACTAATAGGCTGCTGGTTATCTAGGTGGCTTTTCATATCTTGAAGCACTGCCAAATGTCCTTGCATTTTCTCTGTTAACTTTAAACATTGCTGTACTCCATCAACCTGAAAATTAGTTTTAACAATAAGAAAAGGTTTTCCAAACTGACAGACTTGAAAGCAAGGAATAAAAGTCCTTGTTTTAATTATAATTTATTTTAAATTTACCATTTAATTTTTCAACCATTTTTCCAGTTTAATTATTCTCTCCAGCACTTGGAAAGATTCATGCAATTCCTTTAACACAGGACACGTAGCACATACCAGCTGCTGTTACTTACCATGCTAGCAGGGGTGTCTTCCAGGACTGCTGCTTTTGTTTTGAAAATAGGCTCAGTAAAGCCTTTGAACAGGCTGTCTGTCTTCCTATGCTCCTGGTCACTTTTCCAAGCAACGGCTGCGTCATCTGCCAATGTTTTCTCTTTAGCAATTTCTGATCCAAACTCTGATTGTTCTGTTGAGAAAAGAGTATGAAGCCCATCTACTTTGCCTTTACCCTCACGTTCTGTGGTGATACCAGCAACCTGTGAGCTCGTAAGCAAACCACTTATCAGCTCCTCTAACTTGCTTGTACTTTCATCTCCAGGTGAGATTTGAAAAATCTCCAGAAGTTCAGAAGTAGTAAGTTTTGGAACAGGAGCTTTCATGTCTCTTTCACTCTTCCTTTCACCTGGATCATCCGTCTTTTGCTTGCAGGATTCCTGCTTCAGAATATCACGAAGAAGATCAGGACTTCTGCAATCAGGCCAAAGCAATGAAAGAGCATCACTGTCCTTTGGCTCTGTACATGGTGTGGTAACCATTAATGCAGTTCTAACAGCATTGCTTATTTGCTTGAGATTTGATCCACTAGACGTGTCACTCCCAAGCTGGGTGCTTCTAACCATTGTAAATAAATTTTGCATTAAGATTTTGGTATCAGAGTAATTTAGGGGTTCACCCTCCTGCTTGCAGTAAACATGTCCCATTTTCAACTTCCTTTGTAATATATTCTTTAAGTCTCCCATTAGTGTGTCAGACATTTCTGGCAATTGTGAAATACCTTCCTTTACTTGAAAATCTTCGCAGGGTCCTCTTTCCTTTTGTAATGACTCCATGGACATTTGTTTTTTGAAACCATTTCCAGGGGAAGAAGTCTCACTGACTATGAAATTTTCTCCCTTTGTATTTTTCAGCATCTCATGTTGTTTCTGGGCACCATAATTCAAGCCAGCCCCTATGCTGCTCAGAACTGCAGAAGAAACATCAGTGGTATGGGTATGACTCCCAGAAGGTAGTGCTTCACTCCCATCCCCTGATTCTTTGGCACCCTCAATACTTCCTAAAGCATCTGCTTTTATTGGGGAAAATTCACTATCATTGCTGCTCTTGTTTTCTGAAAAGTCTTTAAGAACATTGTCAGTATTTTGACAGATAACTCTCCCTGTTTCTTTAGTTATGCTAATTTCCTTTGGTTTCACTGTATCAGTTGGGGGAAAAGAATAAGTGTTAAATTCACTTGAAGGCATTTCTTCTGTATATAGCAGAAAATCCTTTTCATTCTGTATACCCTTTTTCCCTCTTCCCCTGTCCTCAAAGCAAGAGGATTCAGTTTTATCCAAATCTGAATGGCCGCTTTCTTTTATGTCTGTTGTATATTGTTTTAAAGAAGCGGAAATGTTAAAATCTCTCTTAAATTCATCGGATTTCGCACCACCTCCAATGTCAAGCAAAGCTTGATCAACATTTACTTTTTCTTTACTTGAAACAGGAGTTTCTCTACCAGCTTTAATTACTGATGCATCAAATATTTCCCCAAGGCTTTCCATCTGAATGGGACTTTTACTTAGCCCCATATCACATTCCTCCATAGTATTTACTCTATTTTTATTTTCTGTAAGAATTTCAAAACCTCGTCCTATTTGACCATGCTTCCAACCGGTGACTGGATGTACTTGGTCACTAAGTGAACTATCACCATCACTCATATAAGGCATATTCATAAGGAATTTATTGTCCATTTGGGATGAACTTTCCTTTAGTCGTTCCATACCAGTGATATCATTTAATACTTTTTCCTCTGCAAATACTGCTTCTCTCTGCCTTTGCCCATGATTTGAATGTAACATTGGCATGGTAGTATTGTTTTTATTCATGCCATCGATAAAGCATTCTGAGAGAAGCAAATTTGTCTGAGTACTTTCATCATCATCAGTAGCTTGCTTTGTAATTAGGAAGGCTGTTACACTAATGTCAGATGTCACGGTATCATCAAGAAGCTGAGAACTTGGAATTTTAAGCTGTGTTTTATTCTTTTCTTCACTCTTACAGGATGTCCATTTAGTGTCAAAAGTATTTTCAGACTGAATAGGCTCAGTAGTATCTTGTGACACTTTGACACAAGTCCCATATTCATCTTCTGTTTCCTGCTGTCTGTCTTCTTCGCTTGCACATGTAAGACCAATACATCTTTCCTCAGAAACATCTGATGCAGATTCACATCTTCCTGAGGATAGTTTTCCATTTTCATGGCTAGACTGGAATTGCAAAGTATATGCTGTCTTGTGGCCTAAAGAATAGCAACAGTCATCAATATTCTGATTATTTTCATCGCTATTTTCTGTGTCTCCTAAGGAAATTATCAGCTGGTCACCTTTGTTTATACATTGATGATGTGAATAAAAAATACCCATTTCTTCATCACTGTCAGAATCAGTGTCAGAGTCATCATAACTATCATAATCCTCCTCATAATCTTCCTCCTCTTCTGTACCTTCAGATTCATCCTCATAGGAGTCACTTTCTGCTTTCATTTCATCTTCCTCATTTCTGTCTCGTACTTCTGCTTCATAGATCTTCCATAAAGAACTAAGGCCTCCCTCCTTTCTTCCTTCACTCTCCAGAGTAACCTGCAATTTTTGCTCCTTCTCTCCAAAGCTCCCTGTTCTTTCCTTTTCCTCTTCAGGGATTCTTTCCATAGTTTCAGCACTTGCAGAAGCTATATTTATGCTCTCAGGTGGACCTGTCAGATTTACATGGACACCCTCTCCAGCATTAGTTGCAAGTTCTTGAAAAGAGCTGGTCTCTTCTCTAAGGGTTATTAGACCACCTCTCTCCTCTAGAAAACCTAATGGAACTGATGCTCCAGACAATTCTGTCTCTGGTGTATCATCATCCCCCAGCTGCAAGGTGTCAAAACCATCATCACCTTGAGGAGTGCCATAGGAATCATCGTCATCAATTTGTGGAGTATCATAGACATCACTGTCATCATCATCAACTTGAGGTGTTTCATAGGCATCATCGTCATCATCATCAAACTGAGAGCTGTCATCTTCAGAGGCTACCTCACCACATTCATGCTGCAAACAGTTACTTTCAAACTGTGGGATGCCATCACTCCCTTCTTCTGATGAGTCAGAACTACTGTCACACAGCAGTAACTTGTGAAATGTAAGATTGCTTTCTTCTACTGCTAGCTTTTGTGCTGTGCTGTTACTGTCCCCCAGAGGTGGTCCATCATGTATAACAGTATCGCCATCCAATGAAGGCCTGCAGTGCATGTCTCCACACAGCTTACTCCGCAAATCAGTACAATCCTCCAAGGATGGCCTGCCATGTACATAAAGATAATCCTCTAGGGATGGCCTGTTATGTACATCACCGTAGTGTTGTAGAGGTTGCTCACTATATTCATTATCTTCAAACTGTAGTGTGTCACCACATTGACTACCCAATTCTTCTGGAAGTCTGTATTCAGTATCTGCACTGATGGATGAACCAAGCCTCCTCTGAAAATCATCTTTCTTGCTGTTAGCCAGTACCATTCTGCTATTGTCAGCTTGCAATATGTGAGGCCCGTATTTTGTGCACCTTTCCAGCTCTCTCCAGATTTCATTATCTGACAAATCATTCACACTCAAGGAATTCTGTAAGGTTTTACCATTCCTGTTTTCATTACCCAGACTGTCTGCCATATAAATCTCTTCTTTCTTTGTTTCTGAAATAAGATTTGAATTTGAGTCATTTGGAAGATATCCTTCAACGTTTCCTGAATTTGCCTTCTGACTGTTATGCTTACACAGTTCTGTCCACCCAGAAACCTCCAGAAGACCTCTGAGTGCATTTCTGTTCATGGAATGTTGAGTGCTACTTACTACGTTTCTAAGTTCTGTAGGGTTAGTTGACAACATCTTCTGTGTATATTCTGATTGCTCAGTACCAATAGCATTGCAAATATCTGGTCTACACACATGGAGATCTTCTCCCTGTAAAGATATGTAATTCCCAAAATCTTCACACTGATTTAATTTCCTGTTATTAGAAGTATTCTCAGCACCTGAAAGATCACCCTGAACACTGCCTGTGACATTATTAAAGTGCACACTGCCTGCCGACTTTAGGTTAATTTCTTTCAGGCTTACGTATTTGTTATTAAACTCCATTTCTGACACATCGGCATTGTACACAGCACCATCACCTTCCAGCAACATATTGATGGCATCTTGCAGTTGTCCATCATATAATAAAAGTCTTCCTCCAGTGTTTGCATCCATATAACTATTTACCATCAGATAAGATATGAATAATTTCTTAGCTTGATCTAAATTATGACATACAGGGTCTTCTGTGCCAGAATCTTCATGTTCCTCCTCACAGTCATGAAATACAGATGGCAGGAATTCATACACCGATAACCATTTTGCAGCATTTTTACAAGGGGACTCTAATTCTTCTACACTGGGCATTTTATCTGGTAAAGTGACATTGGTCAAAACAGATAGAGTATTGATGTCTATTATCCCTGATTGTGCAGCCTTATCTAGACTGACTATTTCACAAGTTTCTGGAATGTAAAGCGCAGCTATTTTCTGTCTGTCATTTAGTATTTTGAATGCCAGCTCATTTGTTATCATCTCTTGGTGCAAAGAAGTTGATATCGGGAATATTTCACCAGTGTGAGGCCAAATTAGTCCAACAAAGCCTCTCTGTGCTTCTAATACCAGCAGTGCACTGGTAGATGATATTAAGTTGCATTGTACGGCTTCATCAACAGTCAAACGTTGTCCAGAATTTGGACAAAGGATTCCACCAGTCTGAACCTGATGTGTGAGGATCCCACAAGCAGTGTCCTGATCTATCATCCCTTGTCTCATGGCCTCTTCCACAGTCATTCGCTTCCCTGAGTCAGGGTCAATTATACCTCCAGACATTAACTGAGCACCCAGCAGCCTGAACATTGTTTCCCGATCGATGAGTCCTTCATGGGCTGCCCTCAAAACAGTTATCTTCCTTCCACATTTGAATGTGATTCTACCTTTTTCTTGTGGTTTCACCGATAGGAGTCTTAACCCTGTTTCTTCATGTATTATGCTTCTATGAACCATCTGTTCAAGGGAAATCTTCTCAGCACAGTTGGGGTCTATGAGATCTTTACACGTGTCTTGTCTTTCCAGAAGCTTTGTATATAATGTTGGAGAAATCAGGTTTCTCTGGAAAGCATTCTGCAAAGTCAGGTTTTCTCCCGTAGATGGCAAAATCAAGTGCCCACTTGAAAGCTGATTCTCAAGAATTTTAATAGCCAAAGGTTCTGAAATTAGACCTTGTTCTAAAGCTGATACAACTGGAAGATTTGATAATGATGATTCTGAAATAAGCTTCTTTGCATTACTTAATTCCTGCAACTGCAACAGAGTCTGCTCATCAATTAGGGCATGAGCTTTAGCTTCTTCCAAATCATAACATACTCCTAATTCTGGAGAAATGATTCCAGAAAGGATCAGCTGATTCTCCAGCAATCTAATTCCAGTATCATAGTCAATAAAACCTTTTAAAATAGACTGAAAGACTGAAAGGACTTCTCCAGTCGTTTGGTCAATGACACCAGCAATGACTTTATTCACCTAAAAAGGAATATAAAAGAAAAGCTATCACTATTTTCAGACTGTATATTTTAATTTTTTTTTTTTTATTTTGAATGCATGATAAGCATAAAAACATGTACTTACCAGGCCTGGAGGAATGCTGTGAATGTTAGCAGCTCAAATGCGCAAGTGATCTATGTCAGTCATTCAACAGCACACGATGTGATAAAAGATTTAAAATCAACATGCATCTGTGAATTGAAAACCTATGCTTTGCATACATAAATAGGGTTAGTGAAAGACAATAGAAGAAATGATTGCAGAGTGAGCAACAGAACATATACCTGAAAGGCAAATTTTCATGCTCTAAATGTCTGTGAAAGGTTAGAATATTCAGAAACAGTATGTGATTCAAAACAACCATGCTATTCATGTTTACAGCATACAGCACTTCTGTATATACTATCAACAATATGGATTCAGATACTCTAGCACCAAATATTGCATTTAGTTTGCATGGAAAGCATGAAGTCAGTTTGGCAACATTACTTGAACTAATTACACAGACACTGCCTCTATGTGCATATCAGAATACTCATTTGCAACATAATTTTTGAGAATTCCATATTTAAGATTAAGATCCATTAACAAATGTATTTGTAGTGTCTCAGAGCCAATCACGTTATGTGCTCCCATTTTCATATCCAGATAAATTTTAAGAAAAGCTGAAAGTAGATCTCTTCTAGGACATTTCTGAGTGATATATGGGAGAGATTAACATGTTATTTTATGGTGTCATTTTTGCAGCAAGAAACACAGAAATATCTAGCAGTCAAAGAATGGCTTTTAAGAGAAGAGTTAAGAGATGAATGATTTGTTTATCTTTCTTCATGCAAGGCACACATTATTAAGACTCTTCACAAAAAATCTGATGAGCAGAATGTTCATATGCACAGGTAAGGTCACACACAGTATTCCACAGCAAATACACAAAACCTTCAGTCAATTAAATCTCAAGTCCCTTTACACAATGTTAATTGCACCTTCTTCTTTTACTGATCATGTGTGGTTCCAAAACCATGCAGTAAATCTCAAGAGAGACTGAAATGTAAGTTTCAATCTTGTTACCTTTTCCTCCATCTTTTCATCACTCAGATACTGTGCTTCCTGCAGCTGCTTCAAAGCTTCATTGGATAACAAGCTGTAGCTCTCCTGGAGGGATCTGACTTGCTTTTCCATTTCATTTCTCTCTTCATCTGTCATTCTATTAAGAAAAAAAGAAAAATGGAAGAAGGAGATCTCTGAGTAATTTGTAACCTGCAGGGAGCGATCTGCCTACCTTTACTTAAAAAAAGGGGGGGGGGGGCGGAAACAGTAAAAGTAGTCTGAAAAAAACACAGCCTAATTACGAGGATGTTCGAGAAAGCTACAATCTGCTTGTAGTCATTCAGGAAAAGAAGCTCCATTAATCTAGAATTTATGCTGAATTATCACTAAAGCATTTAACATTTGCATGTGCCTTTGTCTACTGATTATCAGTCAAGACAGGTAACATAGCTAGCAAGGAGTCATGAGATATCTCAGCAATTTAATATTGTGAACAGTCTGATTTCAGACACAGATGAAACAAACTTGTGACATATAGTTCAAGTACTAATTTACTACTAATTTTTTAATTATTTTGACTTCAAATGAAAATTACTATCTAATGTTTTTTAAGCTGAGCAGAGGTATATAAACCTAGCCAAATTCTTGAAATAAACAAAAGTGGTTAAACATTGGAAGAGGCTGCCCAGGGAAGTGGTTGAGTCCCCATCCCTGGAGGTATTTAAAAGACATGTAGATGCAGCGCTTAGGGACATGGTTTAGTGGGCATGGTGGTGTTGGGTCGACAGTTGGACTTGATGATCTTAGAGGTCTTTCCAACCTGAATGATTCTAAAACTGCATCAAACTTCCCCAAATGGGAAGACAAAATTATAAAATTAAAGAAAACAACTGACATATTTGTATGTGACATCTAATTGGAACTGTTAAGATAAGGATATGATTTCTTTTTATTATTCAATTAATTTACATTATTTCAAAAATAAAAAATGGCATACTTGTCACTGTGCTTAGCTAAAAATGACTGAGTAGTCTGCAGAGCTTCAGCTATTTGTTCTTTCTTGGTTGACATTTCATCCAGGGAAATCTGAAAAATAAACATCCTCTGTTCAAGACTTAAATATGCACATATATACAAAGAAAAACAAACAAACAACATATTTCTATCTGGGACTAAACTCAATAGTATAAGAACTTGATTTTTTTCTTTAAATACCGGCTATTCTTAGAGCGATAATATTTACTATAGAATTGTATCATTTATATATGGATAAGTTGTTGTGCTATGCCTTTTGGTTAAATAAGCTGTTTGTATTAGAAAACTATTGGGTGAGACAAAGAGAATTTATTTTAAAAAGTTATTTGTCTGAAAATTAACCAATCATTTAAAATCACTTATTATAGCTGGCACAGTTTAAAGTAGCTTTATAAAGATATGTGTACAATGGTCACGTTCAAGAACTTACTCACCAAGATGAGAGAGAACAACTTTAAAAAAAACAAACATACCAGAAGGCCACAAACCTTCATGAAATTCAATGACGGAAACAAATGCAGTATCAGAGACTTGGAAAAAATTAATTACTTACAAATATTCTCCCTGCTATCATTTCTGTGTCATCCCCACTAAAGCACTTGTTCTGGCAGAGGAACTTGCAAGAATTTAATCTTTCAACTTTTCTGAGAAACTGCCTGCAGTCTCTTCAGAGAAAAACACTCATTTTGGATAAATAAAGGCAAAGTATCAAAGGGGAGTCTAGGACTTCATTAGCAAGCCCAAGATATGTTCAATGTCAGTAATAAGAGAACTCTAGCAAGGTGCTTGGGCCCTGCATTGACGTGGGTCTGGACACAATGAATTCTGTCCCTGCGTGCATCGCGTCAAAGGGCCTGAACACGGTCTTGAACAGAATCTTCCTTTGCAATCACCGGCGGGAGCCACAATCCCACCACTCGTGCTGCTTGGACAGAAACCAAGAGAGCAAGCACTCCATGCACTACACAAGAAGTTGATGTGAGCAGGCTGAGGTAGCAGGTAGGGTCATCAGCTCCACTTTGCTCAGGGAACTGGCATCGCTGTGGCTGCTGTGTGTGCCCTGCCCCTACTAGCACCAGCTTCTCCACCCACTCCACAGCTACACCCCACAGCAACCCCAAATCACTCTGTGAAATATATTTCAGCTAACATTAGCTATCAAATCACTAGTCTATATGTTTCTACAAAACTTGTCAAGGCACCTGTGCTAGTCAGTGGAGACACAAAACCAGGCACCTCTGGAAGGTGACGCTACCTCGCCAGGTCGTTTCACAAGGGAAGGAAACACCCTTGGCAAACGCCCATCTCCCACAGGCTGGAGGAAGCCGAGGCAGCTAACTCACAGGTTACTTGCTGAGGGCTCAGGCTGGACGGGGAAGATGCCAGCCATAGTTGCCATGGTAAGCTGAGATGCTCTAAGGAGTTGAGCGCTGGCCCAACGCTGACAAAAGTTTGCACTGTTCTCATTAACAAGGGCGAAAAAGACCAGTGTTGAATGCTTTTGCAAATCTTGATCCTAACTATTAGTGATTTACCAAACAATGTGCTAAAATCAATACAAGCTTACTTCCTCCTATAGCTATAGGGGACAAACTCACTGGTCCCCTAAGAACAAGCAGCGCACTGGGACCGGTGGCAATCGGGACTGCAGGACTGCTGACCTGCCCAACAGCAAGCTTGATTCATGCACACGCTGCTCCAGTGGCTCCAACCAGCACCAGCATGCATGACCAAAATAAAAAAGCAAGAACAGGCTGCCAGGAGGGCCAAAATCATGTTTGCATGACCATACATGCAGCCCTGTACTGAGGGATGTGGAAAAGATGCTGCTCCATCCCTCTGCTGTTCAGCGTGCAGGCAGACCTTCACCTACTGAAATCTTTTTAGGTGTCACTAGGCTATTTTGTGGGACAAGCCTAGCAGGGGTGCTGTTAGAAACAATAGTAAACTTCACAGATGGAAATTTATGGTCAGTTACAACTGTACACAATGACAATGTACCTGTTCAATACAAAGGTGGCAAGATGGGCCACTCCAGCAGCCTGTGGACTAGTGTGATAATAAAGAGGGCTCAGTCAACACCTGCTGTATTCCCTGTGACAGCAGTCTTGACTATCCCATAAGAGGACCCCTCAGAATAACTTTTTAAAAGCAAATAAAAAGAAACCTGGCCCTCAAGCCCCTCCTGCCAACTCTCTCCTTCCTGATGCCAGGGTAGAAGTTACCAGACTTACTCACTGAGCTATTTCAGGACAAGGGGGCAGACGTACAAAGTGCCATCCTGCCAGGATGCACTGTCCCTCTGCAAAGGCTGAGTTATGGTCTGCAGGGTCTAGTTTCTCTAAACTGACATTTTTCAGTGTCAGAATACGTCACACGCCAGGCAGCTTGCACTTCTTCCTGAGTAACATGTTTGTGTTCCTAAACATTGGTGTTCATTTACCCGACCCTCCACTCACAACCAAATGTGAAATTACATCTTTAGTAAAATGTAGATGGTGATTTGGAGGAAAAAAGTATTTATGGAATATTTTCTCATTTTAATCAACACAGAAAGCTAAAAAGAGGAAGTGGTATTTTACCAAAAGACATCTGTGTACCTGCTGCTTAGGCAAATCTGTCTTTTCAGCCTTTTCTCCTTCTTCTTTGCCGAGTGTCTTGCTGAGGTTTGACACCCATTTCAGTAAATCCCCAGCTTTCTCAACATGTTCCTTCTTTTCTTCTTCCATTGACTTCTGATGAGCACCGCGAATTGTAAAAAACATGTAAATGTAAATTGTTGGAATGTTTAACATTAACGACCCTAGAAACACAATTCTACCACAATGGCAGTATTATCACATAAACATAAAGTGATTTCTTTTTATTTATCACCACATGCATTACTATGACACTTTGATGTAGGAACAAAAATGCCACATAATTATAGACATTAACCAAATAATTCCACGAATGATTTGTAATTATGATTACAGTGCTTATTCATACACAAGTACATTCATTATAAAATGATTGATATTAAGAAAAAGCATAGCTTCCCAGCCATTACTCAGCAGATAAAATCTAAACAACATTTGCATATAAAGTATCTTTGAATTGCTGCCTTTGCATTACCCTCAGGTGTGGATATGTACAGCCAGCATAGGATATCAGTAATTTGAAATCTATGCACATGGATTACTAAGTTACAATTAGGAAGAATACATTGCTTTTATGTCTACAGAAACACAAACAATAAAAGTAAAATACTGAGACATTTCCATCTTTTTCTGCACAGGAAAATATATTTCTTTTTATAGTAGTACAACCTGTTAGTAGTTTGAAATTTATCAATACTTAGAAAACACGCGTACGCCCTTCCATGTATCAGAAGTAAAAATGAACACATTTTATTTCAATGGAATTTTTAAAAATTTGATATGTAATTGTAATTCATTTGCCTATTAGAGCATGAAAACAATTCTAAAAAAAAAAAAAGTTTCCTGAAGTGAGAGAAAAAATTAGGATATGAGTAGCCCATTAAAATTAATGAAATACCAGTGTGAGAAAAATTACTTACGCATACGTGTTTACTGGACTGCAGATTTAACCCTTGTATACTTTATTGCCACTTTTGTAAAATAAATGATATCTGCAAACTGATTTGTAATATGAAATTAAGTATCAGGTCACATGAAATACTGCACTGTCTTCACTTGCAAAACGGGCAATCCCTTTCAATTTTTAATATAAGAATCCGATTCTTGTCTTGCCTAAATCTACCCATTTGGCACTAATGTCAACTTCACCAACTTCAGTATAACTTCTGATTTATGCTACCTACATGTAGATAATGTCAGACAAGGCCTTCAGGTAAAGACTGAACACATAGTCTGCATTTTGACATTATGAATCTGCCTAAGTTTATCTATAAATTTCAACTTCGTAACAAGTAATATCTAATTCCAGTTTTAGTGGTTTATACTAATTAGTGGTTTGTACTAATTAGTTTTACAGCAATTCATGATTACATTAGAAAACACCATTTATGATTTTCCATAAAGGCCATCATAGATCTTTTCCTTGACTTGAATGGGTTTTAAAGCAGGCCCCAAAATGAGTACTAATATCTTTGTTCCATTACGAATTATAGTAAAGACTGGAAATTCCCGTTTTCATGGGCTGAGCTGCTTCTAACAATCGCAGCCCAGTATGGCAATCAAAAACAGCTGTCTCTAAAGCTTCTTTGTAGGTCAACTTCTTCTTAGTTTTGGGGCATGTCAAAACTTTAACATACAATTTTTCATCTTTCATCTTTGTAGCTGTGACAGCATCAATAATACCATTCTTAATTGCATCTTCCATTGTTAATCTGGAATGAGACTTCGGATCTATCAATCCACCAGTCAAGTACTGATACTCTAGGCAGCGCATACCCATTTTTTTGTCTACGGCATTTACGTGCATAGCTTCAACAGCTGACATAACCGTGTTCTTTACAGGGTGAATGATCCCAGTAAAGATCAGTTCACACTGCTGGATTTGCTTGGCACAACCATCATCGATTAACTCCCTTTGCAAAGCTTCTGAAACACTGTACTTTTTCCCAGTAAACGGATCAATTATGCCTCCTGTGCTAACCTGAGCTTCAAGACACCGGAGGGCAGTAACTCTATCCACCAAGTTTTTGCGTGAGGCTTTTAAAACTGGAACTCTTTCATTGGTTTCAGAAAGCCAGAACCCTGCAATAGGACTGTTTAAATCTTTATTTGGCTGTGAAGTGCTAACTAAAATATCACCAAACTCATTAGCTGTGATTAAACCCTCCTTATATTTATTAACTAATGCTCTGCCAATTCTACCCTGATTTAAGGTCTCCTCAATATTAAACTGTACACCGGTTTTAAGATCTGTAAGCAAAAGAAAAGAATTCCCATCAGAGTCAAAACATGTGGACTCCTTCCAATCAAATTCCTGTTTGGAAAGCTCAAGATATGTAGCTTTATCAACACAATTTTTTTGATAAGCCTCATATGAAGTCATTTCAGCTCCTGTTTTGATGTCTACTACAGAAATTTTATGACTTTTCTCTGCTGATGGGCTGCTTATTTTCCTTTCACCAACTGGAAGCAGAAAGCATTTACTGCTTACACTGAACATACACATTTTCAGCAAATCACAGTAGTACATAGCTTTCCTGTTATTTGGATTGTGAAAACATTTTGCATTACTAGAAGGTTCATGCAAAAATTTTAAAATTGTGTTATTAAGCAAGCCAAGCTGCACGGCAGTTTCTGGAGGTACACGAACACTTCTTACAGGATCAATGACCCCCCCACTTGCAATTTGAGCCTCAAGGATATTTTTACCTTTTTGTCTTTCTAAGAGTCGAGCTTCCATAGCCTGATACACAGAGATCACTTTCCCAGAACAGCAATAGCCCAAAACAGCTTTCTCTGCCTCAAGCAGTCTACTCTTGAATTCATTATCTGCAAGCCCTCTAACAACTGAATCATCAACTGGGAATTTCTGACCTGTTGTGGGATCAATGATGAAACCGGTAGCTGCTTGGGCCTCTAAAAATGCTAATGCTAATGCTTTTCCTATGATTCTTCTCTTTGCTGCTAAAGCAAAAGAGAGTATCTCTTTGCTGGATTCTAGGTACAGCCCAGCTATAGCTGTAGGTTTACTTAAAAATTTTTCAAGACTTTTCTGCACCTCATCAATAGTTTTCTGCCCTGAAAGGAGCTGCTCAACCGTGAGCCTGTCTAAAAGTTTAACTTCGGTCAACTGTCTGGCAGTTACATCATGTCGGAGACCTTGAAATTTAATATCATCATATTCCTCTGTAAAATATTCCAACTGAGTAGCATCATCAACAGTTTTCAAAATCTCTTCCCCTAAGAAAGAGCTCATCTTTGCAAAGTCTTCTCTCCTAAACCCTTCGGATGTTTTGTATCCCTCAAACATTCTCTCTTCATTACCAAAAGTCTTGTCATTTTCTTGGTTTAATGTTGTGACTTCAACATGCATGCCATAGTGCTTGTTCTTCACTATCTGTAAATAGGAATTTTTTGACACAGTGAGAAATACATCTGCAGAATTATGCTGTACATAATTCACTCCTAAATCCTCCACCAAAGAAACAAAAGGGAGAACTTGAATGTAAGTCGGAAAGGAGAACTGCTACTACATTGGAGAGCAGAGAAATACAGATAGCCAGAGTTTTAAAGTGCATTTGCCATTTCAAATATTTATTCAGTAACAGGAATATGACTAGACTAAGCAACAGTAACTGTTGTTTGTTACTGTATGAACTTAGTGCCGTTAATCAAAACTTATTTTGTCCAATAGTGACAAATGGTGTATGTGAATTCCTATTTCCAATATAAACTTTTAAAATGTGTTTCTTAGATATTAACAAACCTGCTAAAAAGATCTAATTAAAAGCTTTTTGTGTCATGTAAGAATGAAGGGGTTCCCTTCACCAAGGCAAACATGAGAAACATTAGAGAAAATACAGAATAGTGATAAAGCATAATGAAAAACAAACAAACAAACAAAAAAATAGAGTAAAAACCAGCACTAGGAAGGCAAACCCTCACAAAACGTAGTGTGTACCTCCAAGGGATGCAGTTTTACCACTCCTAAATCATGTTTCATGTCTTCCCCATGTCTAATAGTTTGTCTGGAACTGCGTAGGTTCCTGTTTCTCAATTTGTCCCTTTCATATGTTCCAGGGATTTGGCTTGCTTTATCAAAAGTGATCTGGAACTGCGTACTTGTTTGAGAAACAAACTCTGTAAAAGATTGTGGGCTTGCATCTTCTTCTAGTGATTGGTTTATTCTTGACATCTGGAACTGCACCTCTCTCGGTATCGTATCATCAGCACTTACATACAATGTATTTTCTTCTATTTGACCAGATTTAAAACCTGATCTCTCCTGTTTCTGCCTTAACAAAGGTGAGCTAGGTTTTGCATGTGGAGGAAGCTGTTCAAATTCTCTAGCTGTGGTGTCACTCAGGTAATCGAAATCATTCCCTCTTCTCTCACAGCTCAATTTAAATCCAGAATCTTGGAGTTTATTATTTTGCTGAACTTCATTCTGAAACAAAAGAATCCTGTGTTCACTCTCCTTGACCTGCAGGTCCATTTTCTGTTTCAAGCTCTCAACCGTGCGCTTCTGCACTTCCAATTCTTCCTCAAGTTTCCTGCACTTCTGGTGATAGTCCATTTCAGCCTGCTTCCCTTGCTGCAGTTGTTCATGACATTTTTTAAGCCTTTCTTGCAGATCTTCCATTTGTAACTTGTACAACATGATGTTTTCCTCAGCCATATGCTTTTCCTGCTGAAGAGCAACACATTCTAGTTTTATGCCAGAAATGTCCTTTTCTGTGATGCTATGGGATTCCAGTAATTTTTCAACTTTCTTCCTAAATTCCTCTGCAGAGTGTTTAAACTTAATGGATTCTTCCTGAAACAGAATCATCTTCTTGCGTGCCATTTGTTCATCCAGAGTCTTCTGATGGAGTTCATCCTGTAATTTTTTTAATTTACTACTTAGCTCTTGTATATGAGCTTGCTGCAGTTGTATCTTCTGCTCATTCACTCTCTTCTCCATAGTTAGAGCATTCATTTGGGCATTTAGATTTTTAACTTCCCGGTCAATGGTTAGGGTGGAAGCACTTTGTTTATCACATTTTTGTTTATATTCACTAGCCAAGTCTTTTGTTTTTGCTAGATCAACTTCTAGGCTTTTGATTTTACATATGAATTCTTGCTCAATTATTGTTTGCTTGTGCAATTGTTCATTTGTTGTACGCAGTTGCTCTTTGAAACCATCTGCTAGAGCTTTTAATGCTTCATTTTTCCTCTGAATACTTTGTTTTTCTGCAGTCATCTTCTCTGATTCAGACTGAATTTGCGTCATCAGTAGTTTTGTTTCAGTATTCCATTTATTAAGGTCCTCTATCTTTCGTTTCAATGTTTCTGATACCTGATTACTTTTGGATAATTCATTCTTCAGCATCTGAATTTCCTGCTGGTTTTCTTTCTCTACTTTTGTTTTTTGAAGCAACTCTTCTTGAATTTTCTTATATTGGTCTTGAAGATTATTTGCTTCTCCTTTGCATGACTGTGTTCTGTGTTCAGCTGCCAGCTTCTCCTTTTGAAGAGAACTGATTTGTGAATTTAAATGTTTGATAGTGATTTCAGTTTTTGTCTGTGATCTAGTTAATTCCTCTACTTCTCTCTTTAGCTGTGTCTTTTCTTGCAGAACAGATTTCAGCTCCTCCTGATAGTTCATCTTAATTTGCTTAAGATCTATAGCTTCTTGCATCACCTCTTCAGCTTTATCTGTGGTTCTATGTAGCTGCTTGTCCAATTCTTTCAACTGCTGCAAATATCCCTGCTCTACTTGGTCTTTTTCCTCCAACTTAATTTTTAGGCATTTAAGTTCACTATTGACTTTATCTAGTTTTTCTTTTAATAAACGAGACTTTTCTTCTGTTGATGATTTCTGAAGCTCAATTTCATTCAGCTCATATTTCAGGTCTTTAATAGTTTTATCAGCTTTTTTGTTAGCAAGGGTTAGCTCATCTATCTTCTGTTTAAGCTCTTCTACTTTTTTGGCTTCTTGCTTCTTCTGGAAACTTGTAATTTCAGAATCAGTCCTACAATGGCTGCCTTGCCCAGCCGTGAAAGTTGGCAGGGAAGTTTCTCTAGTTACAGAGTACCTGCTTTCAACAACATTCCTTCTGGCTTCAGTTTTCTCTTTTTCTTGCAGCTTTATTTCTGATAGATTCCCTTTAAATTCAAGATCTTGTTCCATTTGCTTTATCAGTTTCATAAGTTTCTCCTCTCCTTCTGTTTTTTCCTTCAGCTCCTGCATTAAGATTTTTTTTTGTTGCTCTAAATCATGAAGATTAGTATCTTTTCTTCTTAGATGCTCTTCAAGGTTTCTTCTGGTAAAGGTGCTTTCTTCTATTTGATTTCGAAAAGCACGGAGGTTTTCTTCCAGTATACTTCTTTGAGTCTCTGCCTGAAAAATGAGCTGCCTTACACACTCCAACTCCTGCTCTGCATCTGCTTTCTCTTTCTCAATGCTCTCTAGATCTATACGACACTGCTTTGCCTCTTGCTCAGCCTTGGCCTTCTGAAGACAGATCTCTTCCATGTCCTTTTGCTGCTTCTTCCGCTCTTTTTCTGCAGCATCCCTCACTTTAGGGAGCTCCTGTTCCACTCGGAATTTTTGTTTCTTCATATCCTCCAACATCTCCTCAAGTGTTTTTACCTTTCCCATGAGTTTTCTGTTCTCATCAATTGTGCTGTTTTGCTGTGCCATTAGATCTGAATATGCCTCACGCACTGATGCTTCCTTATTCTTTAAAATCTGTAAAAGAACGAGATAAGTTGGAATGTACTTTTTGTAATACAGCATATGAAACATGTTAGGGTCTTTGAAAAGCAGAGTGGAAAATACTTACTCATATGTATATGGTATGTCCAGAAAGTAGGACGAGCAGTTCCCACCACCATCACCTTCTCTTGACACAGTAAGCTTCAGGAAGTTACCATTAGCCAAATATGAAACCCTTCATAAAGACATCCACAAAGCGAAGAAGTCCTGAAGCCTCTCACTTCAGTCAGATGCCTCTTAGCAGTAAGCAGCGTCAAACAACAGCTTGCATATGCTTTTTCTCCAAACAAATAGGCAGAGCAAACAGTAAGCCAAACACTATGTGCAAGAATTCCCGAGGAGAAAGTGGCCTACCATTTCTGGATCAGTTCAGTAAGAATCGGAAGAAGGATTTTATGCTTGCAAGCACAAATAACACAAGAGAAGTTTGGAAATCCCCTCCAAGAAAAGAAACCGTATCTAGAGCTAGAGCCAAGATGCATCAGCTCCAGAAAGAGAAGTATCTAAACGCGAGTACATCTATGCTCTGTAGTGTGCTCCACAGTCCCAATGCTTCTACTGGCTCAGCTGGGCGACTGGTAAGAGCACAGCTGCTCTGCAGTGTAGACACAGTTAGAAGTACAAACATGCTGATTAGGAAAATCCTAGTGAAAACCAGATGGCTAGTAGTCTCTGTATGTTGGCAGATGAAGGGACACTCTTATAAACAAGATGTGTATTCACCAGTAATAATATAGTTGAAACCATACATACCTTGTCTTCATTAGCACTATTATGGTATTAGTTACCAAATGTGAGCTAACATGAGGTAAGAACACACCTATATTCCTATGATCATACAAACATGGCATGAAGGGTAATTATAGCAACATTTTCAAATACACAAAACGTTGGTTTAGATCAAATTTACCAGATTTACTTGATTTTTCATATGATATATGAAACTTATTTCCTAAAAGGCTAATGCAAAGGCAACTTCTTCAGTTCCTCTCCATACTTCCCCTGTGTCACAATTTTGAACAGACCCCAAACGTTTAAACTGGTTTCTTATCAGATCTCCTTTTATGCTCCCACAGACACAAAATCTAACGTATTATGCCTGAAAACAAAGAACTAAAAACACAGGTACAGTCACAAACTACATCTTGTTAGCTTTCATTATTTCTAATCGACATGGCTGAGCATCAGCTGGGTGGAGAAAAGGATGGTAATTAGATAGTAATACAAAATAAAAATAAATTTGTAAGAACTTAAAAAATGTAAGCATCTCAAAATGGAAAGAAATTAATATCATTAGCATATTCATCGTTTAAAATACGTTCAATCAACTTTAAATCACTTGACCTTGACATATTTTGAGATTCAAATGTTGATTTAGATTGGTTTAGAATCATTCTTAAATTAACTGTTTCATTTTCATTGCATAAAAACTCTGGTACCTTAATAATAGTTGTGCTCCTTTTATCTTCTTTATCATTGTTTCTTTTTTTTTGCTTTTCTTTTTTTCCAAGTGAGGCTTTTTTCCCTCTTTTTTCACAGCGTGTTTTCTGGAGTTCAGTGGTTTTTCCAGGTACCTTTGTGCTATGACCCTTATCTCTACTGTCCATTTCTGCAACTAGCAATATATCTTTACATTTCTGACCCTGTTCTAACTTGTCTTCTCCACACCGCTTCTTCCCACTTATATTTATTTTGTCCAAACCACAAATTTTACCCTGTGATATTTTCTTCTCACTTACTTTCTCATCGTGACTCAAAAGCTGTTTTGCTAATCCATGTTCTGACAATGGAAAATAATCCTCCCCTCCAGAAATAATTTCTGAGAGGGCTACATTTGCATTTAAATCACCAGCATTTCCTAACAATTCCATACCTAAACTTGGATCACTCCGCACTGGTGACGCTTCAGAACCTAATGGATAAGATTCAGAGACTTTTGCTGCATACCGATTCTCTGAAATATTTCCTGAAGAAACAGCCAAAATTTCTTGCATTGTACTCTTGACTTCATTTGGATTTAAATTTGTTTTTTCTAGGATTTCATTTTCTGCCATGAAGTAACTTTTATCCAGAGATGCTCTGTGCAGTTTGTTTGTATCCCTTTCAACACCACCAGAAACGCCTGAATTGCTCACAAACTTTGTTTTTTCACTTCCATTTTGCGCTGCCAGCTCTCTGAAAGAGGATGCAACTTTCTCTAAAGGTGTTGCATCCCTTACACCTGAAAGAGAGTCACCTTTTTCACCACACACTTGAAACTCTCTGTCTTCAGAGTTTAAAGTATTATGGCTGTCACTTTTGGTAAAGCAATGTTCTCTACGCTGACATTCAAAATGAGTTCTTGGTGAAAAATGTTGCTGCTTGTGAGGGCTGATACCCAGGGCACGCTTTCCAGTTTTTGGAGTAACTTCATCTTTCTTCACTGTTAGCTCAAAATTAGTTTCTGCTTGCATCTCACATTCTTCCTTTGTTGGAACATCACTCCCTGCCTTTCTTGAACAATTTTTTCCTGTGGTTTTTTGTATCGTTTCCACTTCAGGCAACTTCTTTGATACTTCCTCTGTTTTCCGTCTCTCTCCATTAACAATTTGCTCATTTAACTTTTCACCAGGATCGTTATTCACACTCACACAGATCTCAGCTGAAACAAAACAATCTTTTCTACCATTTTCTTCTTCTTTACTTCGATTACCAAAACCCATTAAATTCTCTTGCTCTGTATGTAGCTCATTTTCTCTGTTGTCACTAATGCTACTTTCTTGACCACTGAAATTTAAAAATTGCTTTAATGTTCTAGCAGTTTTGATTTTATTGTATCTGTCTACATCTAATTTTCTTCTGTCAATTTCCAAGTCATTTTCTGTGTGTTTAGGTTTACTGGAAGAGTCATCTTTTTGCAAACATTCCACATCCATCATGCTTTCATTAGGTGTGTTTTCCTCTCTGAATTCAACAGATTCATTACATCCCAAACGCTGAAAGACTTCAGCTGACTTCACAGGTTGCTGGAGTTCACTCTCCTCTGGTAAGCTCTGAGCATGACAGCACATGGATTAAACTGAGATATCATGGAAAGGATGTTATTTTTTCCTTATTCTGTGCATTCTTAACACCATTACTGAGAGTTAGGAAGAAAGATTGGCATGGAAGGAAATCTTGGAACAATCACAGACTTCAGAGGTCTGATCCCGGCAGAAAAAAATTATCATTCCTCCTTTGAAAAGGATTATTCATTTTCTGATTTGCTACCCTGATTACAAAGAAAAAAACCATCAAATCATTTTGAGACTGGAAAGCCACTTAGGTTATCTTCAAACAAGCTATCAAAGATTTAGAAGGCTGCTGGAAGGTGGAGGAGGATGGAAGATGGGGGGTGTTTTGATTTCCAAAAATAAGTACTGGAGATTCAGAGCAGACTGAAACTCGAAAGAGTTTAAAAGATTCTCTTTGCTCTTGAAGAACATGAAGCTTATCGGCATTCACAGGTTTCTTGAACCTTGTTTCAATTCTTGTTGTTTCACTTTTTATCCTTGATACCATTAGCATTATTAGTCATACTAAAGCCTCAGTTATAATGGCTACTTATCAACAAGCATCTATTTCCATCCGTATGCTCCACCACTTCATGATGCACAAAGATACATGCTGTTAGTGTTACAGTTTGTCCAGAGGTATTCAATAGCAAGAAAAGCCAGTAAAGACAAAGCCAGCATCAGAATTACATAACATTTAAGAACTCCGATTTTTTTCTGTAATAACAACATTAAAATTTATACCCTTATGAGAGTGTTCTCCAATTTTACATAATTTATATAGGACTACAGTAAATACGGGCACAATTAATTACAGGACTACATTTAATATGGGCATTATTTTAGAGATATGCACTGTATAGATTAAACTAAAACACTGTCGTCCTTAAAGAATGACTATACAAACTCTTTCAGAGAGAAACATTTCCAAAGAAAGTGAAGAATTTAAAAGTATTTTTTTCTCAATTATTTGGAAGGTTGATTCTGCAGCAAGCATGTATTTTAAGTAATTTGTCTGCTCAATTTCAGGAACCTACTCTTGTTAATAAGATTCAATGCTAAGCATAAGTAAAAATCTGTTTGACCCCAAGGAATCAATACAGTAGAAAGGTAGAAGGAAAAAAAAAATCTAAACATGTCAAAGAAACTTAAGAAATTAATTAAGAGGGCATCGCATCTCCCTGTCTAAAGAACTCCCTTGTATGTCGTTAAGTGGACCAGAATGCATACTATGGAATATTAAGGCCTACACAGGGTATCAACAGTGCATGCACACTAAGTTTGCCCTTATCTTAATGTCTGCATTTATCCAAAACATCAAGCTCTAAAATACTGAAGTATTAATATGTACTGTATGTAACTACATCTCCATCAGAATTCAGTGAATCATATGATCCTTCTAGCTGGAAGAACTGGTAAAATGTATAGATGGTATAGGATTTTGCTTATCTGAATGCTAATGGTGTAATTTAACACTCCTACATTCCTGTAAAAAGTGCAGTATATAAGCAATTTTAGTCTTTCATATCTGCTGCTAACTTTGTGAATAATTCCAACAGGCATATTGCTCTTTGTTTGCCTAGCTGTTCTTTTTGCTTGGCCGGCTGCCAAGGGAAGACCTACCTCTTCCTCTTCCAGTCTTTTCAGAGAGTCACCTGCAAACTTAATGTATTGGGTCATCAAGGTCACTAAGGCAGTATAACGAGTCCGTAAATCCATGAACTGCAGAGAAAGGGGGAGGGGGGCAGAAGAGAGATGTAAACACTCCCATTAACTTTCAAAGAAGTGATAAACACTACTCTAGAACCTATCCCAATTTTGATTGCAAAATCCTGATCATGGAATCCAAAGTCCTAATTTTGATTCCAAAGTCCTAATTTTGATTCCAAAGTTGAATGCCATCAGCAGGGTGCACTTGCACAAATAAATCCTAAGGATCTATGAGGAGATCCATAAGGAGAAGAAACAGAAGACAATGTTTTGTCTTCACAGTCACTTGATTCTTCCCCCCTGTAAGAACAGGTTCTAAGAGGGACAAGCAGTGCTGGTCACTATTCCTCTCTCTAACAGTTAGCAGGGAGACAGATTTCTCTTTACCACCCAAATGAGGCTGATTTGCCTTGGAATCTGTCAAAAGTGTCCAGATCTGGTAAGTTTTACCATAGCAAAGATGAAAGCTCCCCCTGTTTACTGTGATCAAGATCCAGCCCAGAAGTAGTTCTAAACAGTTTTACTGAGGTACATTTCTCATAGAGTTTTTTATAATTTGGGGGACTTTTGTTCATCAACAGCAATATAGTGTCTCATTATCTAAATACTGCATAATGACCAATAGGATATTTATCACATCATCAATCTATAGAGAAAAAAAAAAAAATCTTGCTTGGGTTACCGTATTTCATCATTAATAAATCCTAAATCCCACACTTGTGTTTACTCTGTTTTAAGAAAGACTCAAAAAAACATGTTTTCCTGTCGTAAGAAATCCATTTACCTCTTGAATAATGAAGTCTGATGAGCTTTGCATTCTTCGGCGTTTCACTGGAGATTTTTGTTGGGAGTCAACCATAGCTCTGTAGGTCATAGTCTGCAACTCATAGTCCTGTAAAAGGAGAAAACACACAAAATGATCAGCATTCCACATGATACTGACACTAAAAAAAAGGATTCTAAGTATAATGTTATTTATTACCTTCACAGCAGCTGAGTATTGTTCTGAATACTTCTGGCATTCATCTATTTTGCTTTGTTTCATTTCAATCTCAGAAACCAGCATCTGTAAAATAGGAATCTACATTTTCATCTTAAAAGTGATTTTTGTTACTATTATTATTAGCATTTCTACTTTACCTAACATCATGAAATTTAAATAATATGCTCATTTCCATGTGTGTACAAGTAATTACATGCTCAAGCCCATGTCCTGGCTTTGTCAGGCTTACAGAAGTAGTGAAAAAACCCTCCCAGGTTTAATAGCTGGTGAGTGAACTTAAAAAGAAAATAAGAATATACCACTTCATGCATATAATTTGTTATTCTGTCTCTTATTTAAGCTGCATTTCCTTCTTGCAGGAGAGAGTTGTTGAGTTTAGCTCTGCCTCCATGAAAATATTTCTACGTCCATAACTACCAAGAGCAGTACTGAATAAAAAACGATGTGATAAGCAGAGTCCAGAATCGTAGGTACTCTCTAAGGTTTTGCTCTTCTTGCAGATTTGAAGACCAAAACAACCTGGTCTATAAAATGCCTATAATCAGTAAGTGATACATTAATGATGTTAGCTGCATTGTAAACATAAAAAACATAAAAGCTGGTGATTATTTGTAATTTTATAAGGGCTGAGGGACATAAGCACTTCCTATCAAGAAATAAGACTGACATGACTGGGTTCAAAAGATATTTTAATTCTTTTTCAGTCATTAGAGCAGTGCTTTCCTACAATGAAATCCCTTTCATACCTTATGTTGGTTCAGCTGTTTGGCCAATGCTTTGCTATTTTCAGGATGGGTTTCTTGAATCTTTCGCTGAGTATCTTCCACTTGTTGAATCCACGTGTCCAAAGAATTGTAAGTATCTTTGTAATACTTCAGAGATTTATTAATACCTTCTAAGTCACGCAACCTGATTTTATTTTAGAAGATATGCCAAAGGAAAGAAGATGAATATGAAAGATAAAAAGTACAACACTAAGCCAAATACAGTTTTAAAGGCTTCGGATGCCTTAGCTCTGCTATAGCTCACGTTATAAACATACTAAAATAACACTAACTAAACAGTAAATTAACTTCTCAAACATCAAGATTCCCAGCTTGAAGAAACCTTTTCATTTGTCATAAATGACACCCAGGAGAGATCCTACTACAGAAGAAATTCTGCATATATCCCTCATTAGTAAGCTAAACTGCTTGAAGCTCTGTGAGCACAGGAATGCCCAAGCAAGAGGGAGGGCTCTGCAACAGCAATTAATTCTGTTACAAGAAGTGAGAGTATTTCAAATGTGACCTATGTGAATCAAGAAAGGGAAGAGCTTACTGGAGGTTTAAGTCAAGTCCGCCATACTCTCTCTGTGCCTCCCACAAAACGACAGGAGTTACACTAAAACCAAAGCTTTTAAATATTCTAATGTGCGGCAACTGATCCTGTTGGGTAAGTCCATTTTTAAATCATGGTTTTGACCTGAAAAAAAGAGTGCTGTCTACTTCTTGAAAGTGGTTTCCATACTGACAATTTTTCTTTCGTGATCCTTATAGATCATGAAAAGATCATATAAATACAACTAATCCAAAACACCGCATGATTATGGATAAACATACTTATTTAACAACTTTTTATAGTCTGACTTGGAATTAATAGTTTGAGTCGTACTAGTGTTGTTCTCAAGATGCCAAAAGGAGACTGAAAAAGAGCAAGCAAAGGAAACAATATTGCTCAGGTTTCATACTTAAGCATGTTTTAAAGCTAATAACCATGAAAAAGAGAAAGGATCATGATAACTGCAGCCAATATTTGTACATACTTTTTGCATAATGATCATCAGTGTCAAGCTGTTAGGAAGCAGCAGAGTGAACATTTGCAGAAAGCAGCTTGTTTACAGCTACATGCTGCAACTACCACAATCTGTCCTATTTACACTAGAAGCCACTATTAACAGTCATTTTTCAGCATATTCTATTCAGGATATGGCCCTGTAAGGAGAGCATGTGGTTCATGTTTGCCCTCTGAAGAAATAAGGACACTTCAGTACCTCATAAAACTACTGTTTTATCATTTAAATTCTGCCACGCTACCAGATGATGAAAAATCTGAGGTGGATTTAAAGCTTGCAGTTCTGCAGTCGGCTTTAAATGAGTCAGCTTTTGCCCATCTCCCTTTTAACTTCTAGCAATATTAAACAGAGACAACTAAATTAGTTAATTACAAGTTAATAACTTCAGTATTACACCTGTACGGATATTTGCTCCTTAAAAAAGAAGGACAAAAATGTGAAAGGTTGTTGTGTGAAGTTTTACATGAAAAGCACTATCTTTGATGCTCTTGTTCAGATTATCTATAATGACAAACTGAAGTAGATTTTAAAGGAAATAAATTCACTCTGTAAAATACAGACTTCCTGAACTTGCCCATACTTTTTCCTTCAGTTTCTAGTTCTGTTTCCTTTCCATATAGGAAACAGTACTGTAGAGACTGAAAGAAAAATTATTTCCAGGAATGTCATGTCAGGACATCTCCTTCGGAATTACAGGTAGGTGTGTTCTGCTGTATCTGTATATCTGTGCAAGCATGTGCGTTTGAGTAACATTATCGTCATGACAGTAATACTGAAGGGCTGAATTTAGAGCAACATCTCAACTGGATATTGAGGCTACATGAAAACAGTTGCACGCCAAAAGAAAATACTGGCATTTCACCAAAAGTTATTGTGACAAAATTATCACAAAGTCAAAGGAAGCTAAGGACTTCCAGACTTAGCACTTAAGTCATTAAAAGCAAGTTAACATGAATCCAATCACAACTGATGAATCAGCTCACCAGTTTAGCCTGTCAGAACTAATTATGTGGAAAAACAGATGGTATTTCCAAAGGAGAGCAAGCCATTTCTGCATGCTTTTTTTGGAAAGAAAAAAAGACAATTTATCTCTACTGTGCCTCAGTAAGTTGTAAGTAAATAAAGTTTCTCTATCTTGTTAACCTTTTGGTGCTCAACAGTCACAGACATTTCCTGTGGAAAAATAAGACAATGATGTCAACAGCATAGAAAAGGTGAGAATCCTTGATGTAAGCACTTTCCACAAATAGTTCAGAAAACTATTCTGACCTATTTTAGCATTCAGTTCTGATCATTTTTCCTCAGAAACAACAACACCAGCAAAAAACATGAACAGATTATAATAAAAAGTTATACAAACCTATTTTCAATTTGAGAATGAATGTTTTGCCACCTCTCGGCTAACTGATCAACTTTTTCTTTATGCCAGTCAAAGTCAAGATCACGCTCCTTGTGCGTTTTAAACATTTGATCACTGATCATCTTTGCCTTCTGCAGTTCATCCTCTAAGGCATGGAACACTTGTCTTTTCTCATCTACTTCAGATCTCCATTGCTAGCATGTGATAAATGACAAATTGTAAATAACTCCTAAATTATGACACTATTTTATAAATGAATATTTTACATGACCAAAATGTATAAATGAATAAGTGAAAAATGTTTAAATGAATATTTTACTTCTGGTTGCTCAAACACTGGAATGGCACCAGAACGGGTCTGAAGCAACTAATTAGCTATGAACTGCAGAATAAGTCTAAGTAACAGCATCCCCCACAACACATACATCATAGAATCATAGAATCATAGAATCATTGAGGTTGGAAAAGACCTCTAAGATCATCGAGTCCAACCGTCAACCCAACACCACCATGCCCACTAAAAAACAGAGAGAGCAAATTAACATGCTTATCTTATAAACCACAGCTTTCAAAAAAAAAAATCCTTAGGTAGATGCCAATCATTCTATCTAACGAAAAAGCATTACTCATCATTTGCAATATTAAAATGAGGTATATACAGCACAGAAAAAACGCTGAACTTCAGTCTTACCCTTTCTCAAAGATATCTGCCAAACCTCCTAGGAAACCCTGATTAGTGTACCATAGCAGTAGCAGGAACGTTACTGTGGCCACATTTATATAAGGATATATTTATGTTACCTTAAGCATATGTTACCTTTTGAAGAGACAAAAAAAGTAAGTCTTACTGCAGCATTAACCCCTGCCACTCTTTGAAGTTCAGATACTGCAAGGCATTTCCTAACAGCTGGAATGTGCATGCAAACTATCCAATTCCTAATGCTCCAAAGCTGTCTTTTTTTCTTTTTTTTGAGATGTCAATCCTAATACAGACTTTCCTCCAAATACACAAGCCAACTTTTGATACACTATACAGTACAGCATAACTACGATAGGTGTTATAAGACAGATCATTTTCCTATTATTTTTTGATTTGCCCATGAAAAGGCACCAGCCAACTCTTACCTTTAATGTACCCATCAGATTTTCAATATTGTTTTTGTCAGCCGTTACTGCCTCTTCTTCACACAATTTAGTTTCATAGAGTTTTACTAACGATTCTGCTCCTTGGGTGTTCTTCAGCACCAAATTTACAGTTTTTAATCTGAAAAACATTAATCTCCTGTTAACTGAACCATCAATAACAACACTCAACACACTTGTGGTTTTCAGCCTTTTCATGTCATGGGGTACCCCTTTATAAAATGTTAAAATTATGTTAAGTCCCTTTTCCTTGATCAGTATTATTCATACCAGTATCTTTATATTTCTTTTTTTTTTTAAGAGAAAACTGTAAACTAAAAACATGTGTGATGGGAGATGGCCTATTACATACTTATCTATGTAAATGGAAGACATGGAATAAACTTGGTTCATGTTCTGAATAACAACATTGAGTTCAGAGCGCAGAGTAGGGACTGAAGGTGAACCAGCAGCTTGACTGAAAAACTCTTCGCATTTATCTGTGATGACTCCCAGGTCATCCTTCAGTCGATCCAGTTCTTTCTTCAGTTTCTGTAAAATGAAAGGTGATTGACAGTGCTTTTATCCTACATCAACCTCATGTATACTCTACATATCATTATCAGTACAGGTCTGCTCTCCTTTGCTTGTTTCACGTGGACACCATTAAAATTTTTTAAAAAGGAACATATGCGTAAGAGGGAAACTAACAGAGTCGCCATTTATTGGCATCTTTTTTTCTGACAAACACAAGCTTAATCTTTGACTCTTGTCTTTTCAAGGTGCACCGCAAACTTTCCTGGCTACACTCAAAACGTCTGGATATATTTGTTTCAAAAGAAAACTCTTTTCCTAGGTAAAACAGCCTTTCTCAAAGGCTCACCTCTTGCTCTGATATCCTAAACACACTTTCATGTAGATCATCCCTTTCCATTGGGGTTCGGATCTGCCGTATTAACCGCTCCTCACAACTCTCCAGCTGAAGTCTGATATTTCTGACTTCGGAGATATACAGATTGTAAATAGATTCTTCCTGCTCCTCTGTTGAAAGAAACAAGGCACATGTTAGCAAACAAAGCCATCACGTCATTTCCACCATGTCTTCTTATGAAACACTTTATAAAGTCACCATTCTACAGGTCTTTTCATGACTGGCTGAAATCCCATCAGTTTCCATTGGAATTTTGGCTATAAGGCAAATTTTAGGAACCTTTAAATTTTAGCTATTATTAGATCACCTCCTCACACGTGAAAAATTAGCATACATCTTTGACCATTCATCCCAGGCACAAGCATCACCACTCACGCAGACACTGCTAAACTCAGTGACTGAGTCTTTCAGTCAGATTGTATCAGGCACAATACTACAGTAAACCTCCAGGGCTTTTTTTTTTTGTTTTTTTTAAATCCTCTCTTTCAGACGCACAGGGCAACTCATCTTCCCTTAAGCATAGTGAACTACGCTAATGCAGTAATCAGCTTTGCACTACCGTATTTCTTTAAGTCATTAGCTACTTGACAGTAAATCAGAGCAGGTATTTTAAGCTTTCTGTTCTTACTGTACTTAAAAACAGAGGCAAGAGAGCAGTAACCACAGGCATTCTGTGGAGCTAGGAAAATATCTAGGACACTTTTCTTGCCTTAACAGGGTGAAAAAAGTTGTAATTCTGTTATGAACTCAACAAAGTAATCAAGTTGCATTTCCAACATTCAAAAACAAGGAAGGCATGACTAAACAGTGAGCTGCAGTGCACAGAACAAATTCTTGGGTGTAAAATTTTTTGTAGCGCTCTGTATATTAAGTAACACATCAATATTTCTACATAGCTTAATATATACAAAGTTAAAAAATCTTAGAGCTTCTGTACAATGTAATTGTGCACATTGTTAAAATGATGACTATTTGTTCAGAAGAACTGGGGCATTAACAATATTGCTATGATAAAATGGGTAATTCGCTAGAGCTTGTATTCAGGGAGACAAGTTTTATCAAGAACTACAATCTCTCTCGTGATGGCATCTTTCTACTCTTCTCAGCAAACTTTTACCTCTTTCTGCAGATTTCAGAAGCTCTTGATAGTATTGCTTGCAAACACTAACTTCCCTTTCCAGCTGTGCTGTATCGGAGCTTGTAAAGATTTTGGACTCCTGGCTATCTTCCACAAAATCATCAAAGCGGGACTGCAAATTGCTTAGAACCTGCTGATGTTCACCTGGCAACATCGTCTTTATCTGCAACAGATCATAAACCCAAGGCACGGTCAGCAATGATGCATCACTCACACAGTTCCCTGTAATGCTTTTTATCAAAAAGCAATATTGACCAATTACTAAGATGGTAAAGTCAAAGAATCGAGGTTCTGAAAGCTTGCTGTTCCTGGGCTGGAGTCCACTTGACAGGTATCAGCATAACAGCTGATAGTTTACACTCACTATAAAATCCTTTTCCATCTTTAATGCCAGTAATGGGCTATGTTAAGACAATCCTACATCAGACACCATTTCTCCATCTAATGCCATGTAGCAACAAACAGGAAGCCAGAAAGAGTCATAGAAGTAGGGGCACTTCAAGAATTATCTCAGATTCCTTCTTTTCAACAGCAACAGTGGGAAATTAGGAGTAAAAATGTTGTTTTGGGTATTACAAATATTATTGCAACAGTTTGTAGATAGACATACACCAATGTTGTGTAATAAACGATTATATTAAATAGTGTTACGCTATACATCTAACACTGTGTAATTCTGTGATCTCACACACTGTTTTAGCCAGACAGAATAGTATTTTGATCTATATCACTATTTCATTTCTGACAAATTGATCCTAATTAGCTATTTATCATTTCAAGTTACAGACATGTATAAGAATGAAAAAAAGCACTAAGGAGGAATGAGTGTTCAGCTGCCTTCAACTTAAAAGACTAAATGTCGCTTCACAGTTGTTCCATTGTTAGTAAGAAGTTGCAGCCATAAGGAAATAATGGGGGTTTTCATGAAGATTAACCTTAGCCTAATGAAGCAAATCTTCAACATAAATGCAGAAAGGTAGACTCTTCCAGAACAAAATTCAGATTTAGTCACTGTTCAATTGCTTGAGAGATCCTCCCTCTGACCACAGGAGACTAGAGAGATTAGCACAATAAGGCTAACAGGTAGTTTTCATAATACAACCTCTCTGCTCCTTCCCCAAATGCATGTGTGTAAAGTCTACTCAGATCAAGGCAGAACGTTGCACGGTGGTAACCAGCATGGCCACTGCCAGCTATTCCCACAAGGAAGATGAAGACTGCTGCAAATTGTTGCTTATACAATATTTCTGGGAAGTGTATCCTATGACTTCCCAGCAAATGGCTAAGAGGCCCTTGCTAGACATAGCACATACCGAGGCAACATTGCCAGCTCGAACAGCTTCAATTTCGTTTGTCAGGTAATGCCAGGACACCACACTCTTCATGTTTACATGTGACTCATGCCAAAGGGCCAGAACATTCTGAAATTGCTGTTCAATCCTGAAACATAAAATGACTCCAACTTTAGATCAAAGTAACACATGAAAAGGGAAAAAAAGTTAGACGTTATTTTAACCCAAGCTTCATATAAATGGATTTTAAAAGAAAATGGGTGTTTCTGTTTTGTCCCTACCTGTTGGCTGTATCTATTGCTTCTTTGTTTGGTGGAGGAACTGTAAAGCATACAGATGGAACCATGGCCTCATTACCACTCGGGCTAATGACTTTCCATTTAGCACGATGGGAGTTGTTTGCTAATACACACTCATCATCTTTGTAAATAGTTATCTAGTATTAACAGAAAAGCAGAATAATTTAATGAGCTAAGCATTACAAAATACTTTTACAAAGCACTTCTGCAAATGGTGCCAACAAATAAGCAACAGAACAACAAAAACAATGTTCAACACAAGGATTTGCTCTTGTTTAATAGGGTGGAAGAAATTTAGAGCCTAGTGTTCTCCAGGAACATGGTAATTAATGAAACTTCAGCTGAATTCTCACGTCTGTAATTGATTTGAGGAAATTCAAGTTTCTAACCTCAATTTGTCTATAGTCACAGATGGCTTTAATTGGGATGGATGTTTTGAGTATACAGTCAGGGTTCCTTGGCTTCAGCTGAATTATTGCCTTTGCTCTCCCCACAAGGCCTGCTACTGTGCTCTTATACTGCAAGAGTTGTTCTTTTTCTTCCTAAAACAGTTAAGAAAAGAACACGTCATAAGAGATGGCCAGAATACAGTGCTGCTTCTTTGATCCTGTTCAGCTTTTCTTTTCCTGACTTATTTTACTGTGTTCCTTAAAAGTAACACATTTTACAAGAACAAAGTATCTTTCTGAAGTCACTGGTTTCCCACAACATCTGGTATTGTAAAGATGAAGAAATAAATAATGATAAGTTCTAAAAAACAAATCTTCTTTTTGTATTCCTTCACTTCAAAGGAGTAGTTTTAACACACGTATTTTATATCCAACTATATCTACACATTTCTTGTTTAATTGTAACCCACGTTAATGGGATCCTTGAATTCTTACCATAGACTCCTGGACAAGGTCTTCCAGCCTATGAAGGCTGCTTGATCTATCACAACTGTATTTTCGGTATATGGTATCTTTCAAATTCTTTAAATATTCCATGGCTTCTTTGGCATCACTGAAAAACTAGGATGAGATAAATATCCGGGTTATTTTTAAACAACCTAAAAAGTATATGAACAGCTACACTATGAAGCTTTCTTTAAGTGCTGTCTTTTTAAAAATAATCTTTTCTAGTAGCTTGAAGTGACCACTGTACCACACAACACTATTCGTGATCTCATGTCTAAATGCACTGTTCAAGAAGGCACACATTGTAACACCCGTTATTCTTGGTACAAATTAATTGTACCTACATGCAAAATTAATTCAGCAGTTATTGAACTTTAGTTAATTACTGTTCCTGCAATGGAAAAATTTTCTGAAATGATTCTTGCTTCCCTTGGAATTACAACTACTTTCATATATAAAGAACACAAAACCTACAAACTGTAGCAAACTAGCTGCAAACTTCAGCAAGCACACTGGAGCAAACATTTTGTGCAGGAGGGGAAGTGAGCTGCCACACTTGGCAGTTCTGCGTGGGCATCTGCACCTCCAAACTAGGGTCCTGGTTAAACACGACTGGGAAGGGAAATGTCCTGTGATAATCCTCACCCCATTCTGCCCCTGAAACCTCAATTCTCAAATCCAGAATTCCCATTTCTTCCCCCTACCACTAGGAGCCCAAATCGCTCAACTTTGTCTTCTCCAGTGTCCATTTCCTAACTTTGGGCTCTCACTTTCTCAGTCCGAAGGCATCTCATCCCAACATCACCCCCCTTCCCCTTCAGCCACCCAGCCCAGAAGACACTAAGGACTAATCTTTATAATTTAAATATAAAAAAAGAGTAGATTTTTTTTTTAAAACCAAAAACTCTTAAATCTTCGATCCTCGTGCATGTAACTGAGAAACCCTGAAATCTTCGATCCTCATGCATGTAACTGAGTACTGCATCATCTGCTGAGTACGTAAATGGGTGATAATCAGAAAGGTGTTTCACTGGACATGTCTGCTGTCAGGGTGTTCTCTGCTCCGTTTATTATTAATGCTGTATGTTCCATTTCTATTTGGGTAGTCCTGAAAAAAACACCTAGAATATGTTCTCCCTTGGCCATCATTAACTACCCTCCACTCTACATCATCCGCAAAAGCTGTATTGATGGCAGCTGTGTATGACAGGGAGAGAACACGGCTTCGTTCTCAGTCTCTACTTGCAGCTGTGGCACTCTGAAAAAACGTCAGGCCAGATCTTCATCTGCTGTGAACTGATATAACTGTAGTGAAGACAATGCAGGTGTGGTAACACTGTGGGAGCCTGGCTCATCATCTAATGACTGCACATGACAAATGTCAATTCTACAACTACTGTGAGAGAGCAAGTAGCACTTTCACTGCAACTTTTTTACTATGGTCCTAACTTAAAACATTTCACATTCTTACCTCAAAATATGCAGCATTTTCTCTCAAATGTTGTTCAACACAGTGACAGAGCTGAAGAATCCAGCTCCACTGTGTCTGCATTGCAGCTCTATAGGCCTTTAAAGGAGACAAAGATTTTACAAAAGGAAATGAAAATTAAAAACGTGCATACGTTTCCAGAATTTAGGAAACATGAAAGTAATGTAGCAAACACAAGCATCCTCCTCACCCAGGAAAAGCAAGCTGCAGCAAGGAAAATTCCAATTAGACGTGAGAAAAATCCTGTTGCTACAGCATAGTCAAACATCAGAAAACTTTCCCAAAGAAGCTGTGAAATCGCCACATCCTCGGGCACGTTCAGAATTCAGCCAAACAACGCCCTGACACTGCTTTAAGCAGGGTCTGGACTACATCTCCTGAGGTTCCTCCAGCCTAAGCTAGTCTATGATTCTGTGGCTCTATTTACTCATTCAAAATAGCTGGATTCTCCCTTGGATACAAATCAGATATTAAAGTAACACTGAATGCACAATAAAAATAAATAATCAGGACTCGCTGCAATGTATAATTTTGTGTTAACAGTTACATGGGAATTTAAAGAATGTAACCCTGCTGGAACGATGCCTCCTATATGTCTGCACGGTGCTGCCGCTAGAGATGCATTGCATGAGTGTTCACCAGCAGAGGGTACTCTTGCCTTTGTGAAATCAGCCAAGTGTCTCAATTTTTCAATTCCGTATGCTTCTCGGGGAATTCAAAAGAGTTTTTCCATTGGCTTCAATGAATTTCAAACTCATGCATTAATGCACAGATTCTTCTGTAGAAAAGGCATAAATTTCCTTTTTTTTTTTCTTTTTAAATGTCCCAATATAGCATTATTGCAGACATCATAACCTGCATAGTCATCTTCACTGCGATGGCCTGGTTACATAATATGTGTCTTTAATATATTCATATATTAAGTATATTACACTGATAAGAACCCATTAGAGCAGCATATACTTTTAAAGAATAGAATTCCCCACATTACATTAAAAGTCATTTATTATTCAAAGCAAACATCATGAGAAGGAAGGAAGGGTGGAGTTTTCTTTGTTTCCAATTTATCCAAACTCACTGAGCTGAAGAACCATAAAAATCCATCCTACCTGACTGTTTTTTCATTCTTATATAGTAAAACAGCTTTTTATTGTTTCCATTTTTACCACCCACTGTCTATATTTACTCTTTTTTTGAAGATCTACAGGGAAAAGCGTTTTACATTCTCCTTTGGAAACTTGTTATGATCATACAACAGCTACAATAAATTTTCTGTAAACCGTTTACCTATAATGCAGAGCTTGATTCAAGCCTGAAGTAAATTACATCACCTGGTCAGATTTTTAACATCCAAACAAGTTTCATAATTCACTGACAAATAAGTTATGAAACCAACCCTAAACCATAGTAGGAACCTGTAAGTGACTAGAAAAGCTCTACTGAAACCTCTTCCAATCCAACAGGAGAGAAACCACATAAGGACTGTTCTGTGCCCTCAGTTTGCCAACGCAATTTGTAACAATAACTCTAGAAGCTGCATGCATGACCAGAAACGTCTGTACAGACCAACTCTGGAAATTCTAATTTTAGACTTTAGGGGGATTTTATCTAAGCAATCCAAGACGTAACCATAACTTTACAGAAGTGTTTTTACTTTTTGGACACTGGAAGACAGAGACAACAGAGATGCTCAAGAGGGAAAAAAAGGCCCCATTATTCAGAGTCTTGTTGTTTAATTTCCTACGAGTTAGCACTTCCCTTCTTTTCCCCCAACATCTAAGGTCTATTAAATGACAAAACTATTTTCTTGTTTGTGTGCTGTTTTTACTAACTTACCTCAATGGTTAGCCTGGCTGGGTGATTTTCAAGAAGCAATTGCTCAGCTATTTCTTGTACTGATTTCATAACTTCTTCTTTTTGATCAAGTTCTCTCATTAATTCCTTTTTTCCAGACAAAAAAAAGACAGAAATGTTTTAGAAATCTCTTAAATTCTTAAAGATTATTTAATTATTCCCTCTGGATTATACTAGCAATACATACTGCATGGTATTCCTTTTTTCTTGTTATATTGGGGTTTCTTTCACTCCAGTCATATGCAACCTCTTCCTCCTCTTTTTCATTCAGCCATATCAGCTCTCTAGTAGCACGAGATACAAAATTGTGAAGAGTATCTAGATGCCTTTCCTGATTTCTCGATGTGTTCTTTATTAAAAAGAAAAAAAAAAAAGGATTTACCAAAATCAGAATTTAAAGCTCATCCCTTATCAAAGATGATGTACACTGAAAAGCTGAACATCAAAGAAGTATGACAAACTTACCAAGAGTTTTGAATACTGACTCTCCAGTTTGTGCAATTTTTCTGCATAACTGAGTTTAAGAGGGGCAGTCATTTGGATCTGTATTTGTATATGAGGTCAAAAGACAATAAAAAGGTTAGATATGTTAAACCATTAGATTTCACGATATGTCATCTAGAGATCAGAAGTAACTAAGACTATGAAACCCAAACACAGTTCTAGAATTCAACAATTAGTCTACGGGTCTCCCAGTAAGAAAGTAACCAAAGAAATAACAAATATGGTGCTGTACCTCACTGATTTTAGCTTCTTTAAGGCTGGATTCAAATTCCTCAATAGCTTTGTGGACATTTTTGTGATTTTCTAAATGGCTTTCAACACTTGGTAAATCTGAACCCCATTCTGCTCGATCAAGTTGCACCTTACAAACAAGAAGGAAAAATTAGCCAAGATCTACAAGGAGTAAACGTAATAATTAGAAGCGGACTGTTTCTGTAAAGATTGCTACCTGCATTTCTTCCACCCAGCTCAATAGGTCCTGGACAAATTTCATGTTCACCTCTTCTTCTGTTAAATTCTGATCCACAAAAGCTGATTTCATACGAGGTTTTCTGATTTGCATCAGTTTGAGTGTTTGCAGAGTCCCACTCTCTACTCCTGTCACGTAGCTTTGAATTAACCGTGGTGGGATGCCTGGTGTGTAAGCGGGAGTGATAGTTGGTGTCAGTCTGGAAGTAAGACCTGATGAAAGGCCAGATGTCAAGCTGGAAGAAGTCAAAGTAGGTGTTAAACCTTGGGTCATTGCAGCATTTAATTCAGGGGTTAGGTTTGCTGTAAATCCTGAGTTTAAGCTTTCGGTTATTCCTGATATCATCAGCTTTGTCTGCTCTGTTGTCAGTGCATGCCCCTTGTTGTACACAGAAGAACATTCGGTCCGTATGGCCATCAGTTCATCACGAAGTTTTGCAACTCTATTAAAATAAAAGAAAATAAATAAATAAATAAAAATAATTTCAATGGATGCTTATGATTAAGGTTTATCATGCTGAACTGAATAGCAGTATTAATTCACATGATCTCTTACACTTTAGTTGTTCGTAAATATTTATAAATAAGCATTTATATCAGAAAGTATACGGTATGTCAGCTTATACTTCTATAAATACAGATAAGAGATGCAGAAATCAGGCAATGACCAGAAAATCAGCATGGTATGGGCACTAGCATGCACCATACACAATTCCAGGGAACAATCAGCAAAGCAGAAATCTTACAAGGTACTACATGTTGCAGTAGATCAAACACTTGCAGTTCACTGCCAAGGAGCTGTTATGTCCTTGATCTCACCCAGTCCAGGATGAATCCTGCAAAACTTTGGAGTTTCTTCATAACATTGAATTATGCCATTTAAATGCATCTTTCTACTAAGACTGTACACGCTGCCATATATAAGCTAATGTTACTCCACTTATTACCTCTTAAGACATCTACAGCTATCACCAGAAATCTCACCTCCATTTTTAAAATCAAAGTTAGTGAATTCTAAAAGCATTTTAGGTGCAATAAAACAAGCTAACATCTTTACACTCAGATATCTAGTAAACATTAAACACTTAAGTCATCTTCTGGTGAATGACTTCATTTTCACAAATGACTACAAACATCTCTTGTCTTCAACAACGTTTGTGGGCAATGTACCCACTAGAATACCTGATAATCTTTATTTGGGTGCCCAGTGACAGATTGAGAAGTTTATCCATAGACATAAAGATTTGAAAATGTTGTCCATAATGGGTATCCATATTTGGGACATTTATTTATTCATAAAAATACACTGTAAAATAAAGTACCTTTGCACAAGCTGGTCTGCCTGATAGTATTTTCCATCAATAAGAATTTGGGCATCAATCACTTGCTGGCGGAGAAGGTTCTCGGATTCGAGAAGATACCCAGCTATCTCTGCTTCATGTTGGAACTGGAGCCCTGACTCTAATCGCTTGGTGTCCTGAATAAATAAGAGAAAGCCATTAAGCCCTGCAGCTAAATCGAAGAGAAATGAGCTGTAAGAAATCCTAATTTTTCTGTTAAAACTTCTTCTGATCTTGAAACAATTGTGAAGCATTTTATCTAACTACTGACAAAAAAATCTAAGAGAACTCACTCTAGGCAATTTTTGGTATTTTCTTGAAGAAATGCTAAATTAAAAGTAACAGGAAGATGAAAATAAAAGTAGCAGCTATTACATATGCACTCAAAAATCCTAAAGAATTTTTTTTTTAAGTAGCCATTCCACTGCAGTAAGTTCATGAACACAGACAAGTAAAATCACCGACTGACTTACAGCCTGCAGAGCATTCCGGGCAAGTATTAGTTTGTCCTCACAGCTCCGGCTGTCCCGCTGAATTCTGTTTGCAATCTGCTGCAGCATTTCCAACCTAGGTGATGCCAGAGCATTTCAGAAAAATAAAAACGTATTAATGTTATTTATATTTACTAGACATGTTGCATGACTTTAAAAAAACCCAAACAAACAACATCTAACACAAAGCACAAATACATATGCCAAGTTACCTGTTTCCTTCTAAGGTGCCATTACCAAAGCTTATACAAGATTTAATCAGTGTGGGACCACAATTAACAGAAAGGAAATTCTCGTTAGAGTCAATGCTGGTTCGAGCACTAGTACTGTTGCTAAACAGTGAATCACTGCTATGATAGCTATAACTACTGCTATTCATTTTTACATCCAGAGCACGGTCCTTCTGGCTGTTTACATTTGCTGAAAAATGAAAAGATAAAACTCCTACAAAATGTACAGCTTCTAGGGATGAAATTTCACTACTGGCTTTTGAAACACCTAGCACTCCTCCTTTAAATAGGCTTCAGTATGCATATTCAAAACCCAGCAATTAATATTCTGCCAGCTCTTCAAAGGATTTTACCTGGGGCTATGTACGCTACGTTGCTTTTGGCTTCCCTACCTTGCTATAAAGCTTTGCAAGTACAGACTAGGCAGCAACAGTAGGGCGTCTCTACAAAACAGACGCGCCAAATATTTTATTTAAGTGTCACTAAATGTCTATAAGCCAAATAAGAATTTAAAGACATCTTTGCAGTGTTTCTCAGACTCTTCAATGAAAAGTTTCAAAAAGGAGCGAAGTGAGAACTCCATGCTCCACAGTATGGCACAAAACACCTCCAGGTTGGGCTGACTCCTTTTCCTTCAAATGGAACTGCACAATAAAACTGGGGGAATATCATGGTTAATCAGCTCATAACAATTTAATTTGAGACACCTGTACACCATCCAACCCACCATCATTACTCCACTGTCCAAGTATGCATGTTTACTAACTGCCCTGTCCCACTAATCTGGACTCCTGCAAATTTCCCTACAATTTCTTCCACACACAGAGCTAATTGCTTCTCGCTGTTTTGACTGCAAAACAAGTAAGAAAAATCTGATCACTGCCCTTAAGTTTACGCTTTAACTCAGAATTTGGGTTAGGGGTGATTTTTTCAGTATTTCATCCCCTGCTTTGAGGGCCTCCTGAAAACCACACCCACATTGTAAGATGACTGTGTTTACGCAGAAGAGCACAGCAAAGGCATAGACACACCCCTGCAGTAATTCCAAACTCTGCTAGTTTTGCAAACTAGAGCTCAGTCTGGCACTCTCCTCACTGACATCATATTAATTTTGATCCTATACACCAATCTGGCCACATGTTGTTTATCTGTGTCGATACTTTCAGATGTATTCACAGCTAATTGCTTCTCGCTGTTTTGACTGCAAAACAAGTAAGAAAAATCTGATCACTGCCCTTAAGTTTACGCTTTAACTCAGAATTTGGGTTAGGGGTGATTTTTTCAGTATTTCATCCCCTGCTTTGAGGGCCTCCTGAAAACCACACCCACATTGTAAGATGACTGTGTTTACGCAGAAGAGCACAGCAAAGGCATAGACACACCCCTGCAGTAATTCCAAACTCTGCTAGTTTTGCAAACTAGAGCTCAGTCTGGCACTCTCCTCACTGACATCATATTAATTTTGATCCTATACACCAATCTGGCCACATGTTGTTTATCTGTGTTGATACTTTCAGATGTATTCACTAGACTGGCAGTCAAAGTTTTAGTACTTGCCAAATTTCAGTATTAGCTAAGGTCACATTTTTGCCACAACCAAATCCCACCTCAGGAGCTGTATCAACACCTCATATTAGTGACATGCACTAGTAACCAATACAACAAACATGGATCAAGTTCTTGTGTCCAGATCAACTGACAATTTTAACCTTACCACTAAGCCAGAATTACTTAATCAACTTTTCTCTCTCATTTTACAGTGACCACCACACATAGTGACCATCACCATACGATCTGTCACTTTGAGTATGTTTACTAATTCTGCAATATGGGAAGGAGTTTATGTTTATTTCTATTTACTGTGCTCAGTCCATCTGAATAAAAAAGAAATAAACTAATGTCATTTATACACGTTCTCAACAAAGATAATCCAGCTTTCTGCAAGTATGAATAGAATTCCTTTTGGCAAAGGCAGGCACTAACTTTGCTTTTGGCAGGTCAGGACAGATTAACCTACAAGATCTAGCAGGCTGTATTTCTTCTGCTGCTTTCCAGTGTTCTGCTCTCCATGGTGGGGACAACTTTGTATTCCTCTATAGGAACTTTTTGCGCAGCAGGATGCTGTGAATCAACATCGCCCATTGAATCTGCCATTTCAGTCATGCTCTTGCTTTTGTAAGCATGACACATTTAATCAACTCTGACTGTCTTTGGGATCTTCTCTTGCTAAAATCTGTCTTTCTGAGGACTTCCTACACAATGGTCTGGATTCTTCACACCTAATTTCAGGTACCTAAACCAGAGAGAATGATCACCCCATTGTCACTAGAAAGTCAGTGCCAGGATTCTCTAGAAAGTGATTCAGATCTTAGGTGTCTCCTTTGGATGCTTAAAGTTAAGCAGGATGAATCCAGACCCAGATGTCTATACCTACCTGCAGGCAGAAGCCCAAAGAATCACTTAACTTACAGTTAAATAAAAGGGGGGTTTTTAATTAATGAATGGATAGCACCTGTGTCTGCCACAGAACTCAAAAGAGGTACCATTAAAAAGCAGAAATGCTCTAAGACTGCATCAAGATTTTAAACATGCTCAGTATGTTATTAGTGACATACAAAACAGTGTCACACATTCTACTACCATGGAAGTCTACTATGCGCTTTGCACGTCTAAACGCTTTGTGTGCTCTTGAGTACAACCAACTTTTAAACAACCTCAGAACAGCACGTTAGCCCATAACGCTGTGCATCAAGTGAAATAATACATTTCATGTAAAGGATGAGGATGTTGCTTATATGAAATCAAGTCCAAATGAGACAGCGAAGTGATATGAACCTAGCTCTGACTAACTGTACAAAGAAGGTGGTTATATTTGTGTTTAAGTGCTTTGATGATCTGAGGCACAGATACTATTCATCATGACCTTCTGAGACCACCGAAGTTATTTCCATCTGGACCTGCTTCTATGAAGTAGGTAAAGAACTTCAGGCCTTGAACAAAGGCAGAGTTACTTGATCTAGAAAAATAATGCGGATGTTATCATGGAAGAAGACATTTACAATTTTCAATACGGGTTAAAACAACAGAAAATATATTAATGAAGCCTGTCAAACATTCACTAGAGTACCTCTCCACTTCAGGCCGAAGGGTCTTCTCTCTTTCCAGCATGGCAATAATAAGCTTTCCCCATTCTTTTTCTATATCATTTGGATGATAGCCTTGAGGAAGTTTGATGCGTCCAAATTCTATCCAGACCTTAACAATTCATACATATTTGTTATTTTAAGCCACAGAAAGGGAACTTCTATACATTTCAATGCATGTTAAAACTTACCTCTAGCAGTTTATATAGACGTTTAATTTTTGATTTATCTGTCTCCTTTGGTGGAATTTCTGTTTCTTTAAACTGTAGATATTGATTATAAAGTGCCTAGAGAAACACAGAAACCATCATCAACTTTTACTTACAGTGAATATAACCTTACTCTCTAAACCCTCTCCTAATATTCTTCATAAGCTTACAAGCCTACATTCTCATACTGTTCTACTTGAGTTCTACAAAAAATAATCAGTGACAAGGTAAAGATTTGGTTTTGATTGTTCATATGTTAGTAATGTATTTATTGTACTTTGAAAAGGTTAAGGAGTAGTATTGTTCTACAGTTGATTTGATTGTATAAATCAACAAGCACTTCATTTGTTCAAGCATGCTTTAAGTCAGTAAGATAAAGTGTAATTCCAACAAGGAGTTTAAGACGCCACACCTCACCTTCAATTCCACAGGATTGTTGGGAAATGTTCTGTCAGACATTATCGTGACATGGTGTCTGATCCACTGCATGAGGTAGTTTACCATATTCTGATATTCAACCCATTTGACTTCAACATCCTACCAAAGCACAACCCAGATTACAGATCAGAAGAAAATCATCTGAGAGCTTGTTTTTGCTTTATCTTTGAAGTCTGAGGTCTTTACACACATAGAAAAGAGATTTCTAAGCCCTGCAAATCTGAAACAATATTTACTTGCTCATTACAGCTCACTTAAAGCTTCCAAATGTATGATTTCACTCTTCAGTTTTGGTCCCGAATAATTCCACTGAAAACACAAAATTTTCTAGTTTAATAAACTTCAAATTGATAAGCATCAGAGAGGCACAATTTATAGGTCCATGACTGAAAAGTAAGAACTTTGATTCCATCTTTCTCCAACTTCATATATATTGTTTTTAGTTAAGCTCTTTGCACGAATATTTTCGTGTCCAGAACATGAAATAGCTGCTAAGCCTCTAAAATCTCAACCCAGAAAATCACATCAAAGAAAAGTGTGAGCGCAGTCCTACAGAAGATCCAGCTAACATTCTGGAGCTGAAATCAAGAATCATATTAATGAAGATCACACACTGCACAAGTATTTTTCTCCTACTTACATTTGCACCGATGCCTTCACCACCTTCTGGTACTTTGGGAAATGCATCATAAAGTGATGACACATAGGTTATTACTGACTTCTCATCAGGTGAGGAAACATCAACATCTAACAGAGCAAGACAGAACAGCACTTTATCACGTAGTTGTAAGAATGCCCACAAATATGCTACAACATGCAGGCAGATTGGATTTTATTTTAATGTTGGGGTTTTTGCAACAAAGCCCTTTGCAGCTATCTTACCTTCAGGATCCAGAAGTCTGGCAACACCAAGTTTTTCTGCTACAAAAAAGGCATGTTCTAAATTTGCAAGGTTGCTTTGAACAGCAACGGTATTCATGTCTACCAGGTCCGGCCTGTTAAATAAAAACAGTAACACTTGATTACAACTCTACCAGTTTTAAATCACTGCTGTATTAGTAAATCAAACCAAGAGCATGGATGGATACAGCAACAGAGTTTTCATTAAAAAAGGGTTTCATTAAAATCATGTGAACAAGCTGAGGTCAGTGCTAAGTGATAAACACAAGTAGCAGGCAACTAAGCACTGTCAGTTCTTCTTTATCTACAAGCTAAAGTTTCTAGCCATCCCTTTTATGTATATATCTATTTTCTTATGCATATTTATTCATGTGCATTGCCATTGTATTATCACGCCTTGTCCTTTCCACTGCCCTTGAGGAGGTTAAACTCACTTTTCTCTTAGGACTCATTTATGTG